TCTATGGTAGCATGAATGTGTCGGACAGAATTCGAGTAGAGAACATTCAACGGAACTTTACTCGGCGCCTACTAATACATAACGAAGGACTTCCTTACGAAGCAAGATGCAAAAAACTAGGACTAGAATCACTCTGGCTGAGACGCCTGAAGCTCAACTTAACACTTCTTTTTCGTCTTTTATTTACAAACCCTAAAACGAAATGTGCTGTCACTTTTAAAACAACACAGGCATATAATCTGCGTAATAGCGAGAACATCATCCCAATAAATAAGTATCGCTCAAAACTTCGATGTAGGTTTTTCATAACGCAATACAGTATGCTGTGGAACAAACTTCCCGCTCCTATACGAGCATGCCGTTCGCTCGGCCAGTTTCAACGACTACTTAGTAAATTCCTCCTATCTAACGAATCTCATCAATTCGTTGACGGCCAAACCACAAACGGTAATGCCATGCACTAAGGTACTACTGGTACCTAGACTCAAGGGAGACTAACAGCAATGACATAAGTATACAATGCCGAAAACTAAACGCAATAGTTAAGTTAAAATCTAATTTCTTAGAAAAAAAATGACCAAGAGTGAACAGGAAGCGGAGTGCGACACGATATGCTACAGTGAACTTATTAGATACTCAAATGTAACCTACTTTTCTTCACAACCTAACCGATCTCACGACTTAACACCTATTTCCTAAAAATCGCCCCTTAAAGTAATCTCTCTACTCCGAAAAGATAAAAGAACTGTCTGTCGGTGCATTTTCATAGCATGCAACTCTTTATTATTTGCCCTTTGTCATCAGTACTTACATCTAAGTACTCTGCACCAACATAGTTTCGGTAGACCCGATATGGTAATGCTCAACAGGCAACACCATGATCATCCCCTCGTGACCAGATAAAGGGTGGTGGTCCTAAGAACAAAAAAAACCACGAATTTCACCTAAATGTTTATAACTTCATCATACGCTTGTACATAGGTATATAACAAGTTAATACCTGGTCAAATATCCTCTAATCTTTCTATTTCGTAGTGATATCTTCAGCTTCAGACTGACTTTCATTACTGTCGTGCGCACCTTCATCTTCTTCCACCTAAGCTTACCTCTAAACAGTTGGTTCTGGACACTTCCTCAAGTAAGTTTAATAGTCAGTACAAACTCACCCAGATGTATCATGGTCGATCTACTCCTGCGTATTTTTGTGCTCCTGTTACAAATTTCGCCTGCTGCTCGCTTTTGTTATTCACTTTTCAGATTTACTTAACCAGTCCTGCATTCAAATGGAATCCTACAAATCGCATTCGTCAGCGGGAAATATTGGCACCGAAACCTGATGACGAACGCGCACACCCCAAGGTCATGAATGTGATGCGGCCTCACCTTCAAGAATATTGGATGATTCAAACGATGACCGGATAATCTTCAAATTCGAACTGAGCCTGCTTCAACATGCCTCCTATATGCCATAAATCACAGCATCTAATGTATAGCATAACATTGTACATAATAGTCATCTCTCATTACCAAAGTGATCAAACCTGTAAACTGGTTTGTATTCATGTAACCTTTGTTGCATGAAATATATTATTATTATTATTATTATTATTATAAGGATTCAACAAATTTCAGGATCCCTCCCCAACATGCTTTGCAAATAGGTGTAAAGAAAGTAGCCATATGAATTTTGTCACCTGTCTCAACGATATGTTTGACGATAGAAGAACTTGGACGTCTGCTACCAACATTTATAGGTTCGGGCAATTTAGTTTGAGGGGGGTCATCCCATCGCAGTGGATATCCGTCAAACTTGTATCATTGTGGATAAAAGAATGTTGAAAATCGTCTCGGAGGGATCACTGAATTCGTAAGGAAAGACTAGAGCTATTAGTGCCAGGCATCTTCCTTCACGCCTATCCTTTGCAAAATACCCATTGATTTCCTCTCCGTGGAACCAACACTAAAGACATTTTCTAGTGTAACACAGATCCCTGCTTGGTTGTACGTCTATATCGTCTTCCTGGGCAATGCTTCATTAAGACATGATTTAATCCTTCTGGGCATTCCCAGATCTTACCCTTTTCACCTCCTCATTGTGAGTGCATTAAGACTTCCTCAGATCTTCGCAACGACTAGTTCATCTGTCCTTCTTTGAGAACTCAAAGAATTACAGCTGGATTATAGATTGAACAAACGAGTTAGCCAATGCACTCACTTCACTCGCGATTGCAAGGCATTCAGGCTATATTGTTTTATTTCTAGCCAAGTCACTAGTTTGTGTGTTCCGTTGGTCAATGGCACTCTTAGACAGCATTAGCACGCCCAAGCTTCCTACTACATATCTTTTCTAGGCCAACTGCTCAAGGATAACAACCAGAAAGGATTTACTGGGAACCTGGGACCCATAAAATTAGGCGATGTGTAAAATATGTTTTACTGGAATCAAACACAGTCGGCTATCCAATCCAGACGCCAGATGGAAAGTGTTGCAGAGGTTTTCTACTTGAAATGGTATTCTAAACTGATGATGCAAATATCTGACGAGGGATTAGAGAGGAGAGGGATGTTCACCTCCTTCAGGTAGGCCTAAAACGGTGGTTAGTATGGCCAGGGAACTGGCTGATGTGGGTCAGTCCAGGCAAGTGTATAAGCATTTAACCCCAGGGCATGCGGATGGCCGTCCTTAGTGTGCTGTTGGGCTTGTCTACCTTCAGTACTGGGCCAGCATGACCTAGGAGTCACAGTAAGTCATGGCTTGAAGACCACAATGCACTATCGATTTGTCACAGCCCGGAAGCTTAGGATGCATTGGGCACCACACGGAAGACTTACAAAAGTGGATGGTAACATGTTCACTACCCTTCGCACACCTTCAGCTGTGTCGAAACTAGAAAACTGTGTATAAGAGGACAATCCCCATCTGGAAGTTGAATCTGACCGTCTGAAAAGTATTTGGAGGACAACCATTCATATGATCCCCGTGATGGCTGGTCTAACCTACGTAAGTCGATTCAAGGAGCAGAACCACTTTCTTTTATCCCGTCGCAGAGACAGAAAAGATCTGATCATAATGTGCAGGATTTTGATAAAAAAATTGGCGCTGGTGTGTCTTGTCCTCCATTTCTCGTTAGTTTGGGATATATCGTAGCACCTATCGAGCGATAATCAAGGTAAAGGAGGAAAATAGTCTGAATCCTTTTCCACTCTGGCACGACAGGGAGTTACATCCGCTGGAAATTGAGTTTTCGAGACCTTCTGTGAAGTTCACAGAGTAGAAAAGTGATACAGGGAAAGAATATTTCCAGTTCAAAGGTTCATAAAAAATATGTATGTGCAGTCTCCACAGATTTCCTTATGGATGATTACTGTTGGGATTAACAGACGCTAATTCCAGATTATTCAGTGGGGACTGACCTCATCAGTTTAATTTGGATGAATCAAACAACTTACCTCCATCGAAAGTTTCTATCCGACTCTTGGAAGCTTGGCCACATAACCTCAATCATCAAAGGGGGTCAACAAAGCAAACCAATGAAATGCAGTCCTGTGACGCTTTTATGCATACTCTCCAAAGTAATGGGACCGTTAATTTACGATGGACTGAGGGATCACCCTACAACGGTAAAGTTTTTTACGCTCCAACAACATGGATTAAAAAAAGGGTACTCCTGCATTACTAATTTACGCTTTGCAGTAGGTAGATAGACTCGCATTTCTGACCGTCGAGGTCGAATTGGTGTTATTTATGTAGACTTAGCTGGGGCGTTTTTGATCACGTTCGTCACGATTGGCTCATTGATAAATTGAAATTAATTGGGATAAGACCACCACTCATTAGTTGGTTGTCTTCATATACACGTGGTGGTTCATTCAGAGTTCGAGTGAGTTTGCGTATGTCTGAAGAAACGATGTCCTAGTGGTGTTCCATAAGGTTCAGTACTATGACCTCTCCTTTTTCTAATATATATAAATGGTTTGCCTCACCAGGTTCCTTTCGAAATCTGCGTTTTTGCCGATAACGCGAAACTTTGGAGAGCAATCTAAAGTGAGGAAGACAGTGTCTCTCTACAGGAAGATTTAACTCGACTTTGAAACTGCGGAGTCAATAACGGGCTTGCATTTAATCCTGAGAAATGTGGGGTGATACAAGTAAAACACGATGCATGTCTCATATATGTATATATAGCCTGAATGGCATGGGACTTGAAGCGTCACTGACGGAGAAGGACTTTGGCGTTTTAGTGGCTGAAGACATGAAATCCTATGGCAACTGCGAGAGAGACGCATTCCGTGGAAACCTGGCATGGGTGGCTCCTAGACGAATGTTCGGACATTTCGATCGTAGGTGTTTCCACCAAATTCTCAGTAGCTTTACACGGCGTCACTTAGAATTCGGGGTCAGTGTCTTCCCCGCCTCTTTACAGAAGTACAAACTAGGCTTAGAACGCATCCCGAGGCACTCGACCAAACTTATTCAAGGACTTAAGCCTAAAATATACTATACGAAGAAGGACTGGTTGCCCTTGGTCTGTATCTTCTATGGTATGAAAGGCTAAGAAGAGACTTTATAATAATGATTGAACATCCTGAGTGCCCCTGGCCACTCACTCCGTCACTTATTGAATCTAAGTTGTATCACTGATATTAGTGGATGGACACAGAAACTGAGCCTGGAACATAACTGGTTAGATATCACGCACAACTCCTGTTCACTGGGAGTTGTTAAACCCTGGAATGTTCTTCCTGCAGATGTGGTCGCTGTCACCTCGTCTGAATCCTTTAAATGCCGGTTGGATTCTCATGTGACATGTGGCTAGTATGTGCCCAGAAGTAATTGAATTTTCACATTTTAACCACCACTTTTTGCTCTCTTTACTTGTACACAGGTTATCAACCACGAGAAGTAGTGACCCATGGATTTTCGACGTGGAATCCAGTTAAGCGAAAGATTCTCCTATCCCGGCAAAAACCATTTGGACTCTTGAATGGTCGACTTGTTGAAAATATTGCGTTATCTTTCAAGGTCACCTGCAGAATCACAGCGATATCATATCACGGTAAGGCGTCTAAGGTTGCTCACAGTTTTGCGAATTTGTTTTCAGTTTATTTTGGTGGATTAATGTTTAATTTTTTTGAATTTCATCTGCCGTCTTGGAGTCACTATAGTGACTTATAGTTTACTGAAAGTTTATGGGCCTTATTTTAGTCCTTCCTATGAAGGCCTCTTGGTTGATATACGTCAGACAGTTGTTTTTTACTAATCAAAAATAATTGACAGACGAAGTCATTACTTGAGACTGCTAGTGAACTCTTAAGGGTATTTATTTGTTCCTTACCGATGTCTTCGATGTAGCTATAATGGGCAAGTTGACCAGCCTAGCATTGTCATTTCGAGCCTAGCTGACAAACATATTTCCTTAGCTATGCAGCTTGTGTATTTATACTGATCAAAATGAGGAGTCAACAGCAAGCGATGTTGACAATTTTTAGATGAAATGATAATCAGTAAGAAGCTGGAAGCAGTTTAATGTCAAGTAGATCAGCTCAGGTTTCAGCTGTAGTTTCATGGAAACGCAGACCAACGTGTAATCAATAATCAGGTGGCTGGTGATGCGGATGTATAAATAGTTATATTTTCTTATAGTAAATTGGTTTAGCACATGCCTCTGCAGTTTTAACAACAACACAGTTGCGTACTTTGCATGAATGCGACTGCATTGAGGTCCATTGTTGTTTGAACTGTTCTAGCTGTAGTTTCCATTGCTTGGGACTTTGTGAGATTATTAACGTTTGTAATGGAGTGTAAGTAGTAAAATTGGGTAGAGATGATATCTTAGAGCGGACTTTGGGACAGTTTCAATTTTTGGGCTTCATTTGACAAGTTCTGATCAAAGGTTTGGGCTGACTTTGCAACTTTTGGGGCAGTTTGACAATATTGGAATTTTCTGAAAGGAGTTTTGACAGTTTTGGGCGCGACGGTGCATTGTCGGCAGTAATCTCAAAGTTTTTCATGCCATTTTTCGCCAAAAAATTTCAAAGTGCGCCCAAAGTGCCGACTGGGAAAAACCCTTTTGATACATATGTATGTATGTATACATAAAAGCATGTGCTAAAGATATGCAAATTAGCTTAAACAGTAACATATCGAGTATGCGCCACTATGTACGGGGTAACTATTTCCATACCTTTTTGTTGTTTCTCTTCCTACATTCATTGTGTCCCTAAAAATGTGTTCACATTCGATGATCCTGACAGGTCATTAAGTTTTACTAGGTAAACCGCTGGTTTTATACCATCAGCTTATCATCGCCATACGCACCACAGCACACGCTAGTTTTTGTTTAAAATCCCTAAACCTTGATATTCCATGTAAAAGCACTATTGTATTGGTAAGCATAGGTATTGTTATAAAAAAGAATATCACCTGGCGCTGGCACTGATGTCAGCATATTCTGGCTGATTGTTTTCAGTTTTGTGTGTATTTAAAACTCGTATACGCCAAAAGTTAGCACTGAAACTTTACATCCCACTCCTTAGCCGTCGTATCACTTACTACAGTGAGAACAAAATATCAGCAAATAATCCACTTACTTCTGATTGACAGAAGTCTAGTTCTAGCCAAACTCTAGTGTCTGGTGGGGATTTAGGGTACAGCTTAAGATAGATTAGTTGGTCTGGTAGATATACAAATCAATTTGAGATTCAGTGGTTTGGAAAAGTTTGGTTGTCGTGTAATATTGGTCATTATTATTGCATTTGTATTGCTTCCTTTTTCGTTCATTACGAAATTTAAAGTATCAACACAATGGTTGATCTTACTTTTGGGCACTGCACCAAGGTTTTAATCACATTCTTCACAGCATATGCCTTGTTCTTGGCTGTAGGATGTGTGAATTGTTTAGTATTAAACGAGGGAAATGAAGACTTCATGGTATTCTTGTCCACTTTCAGGTTTTGGGACAATTTTAAGACATATTGTGACTTTCGATCGGTGCTTTTGTTTGTAAACCATTTTAGACACGATTTGCCGAGGAATTCAGCCATTAGTGCTACTCTGAGTCGTTTACGAATCTTTCTATTTTCTAAACCAAATTCGGGTCACTACTTAAACTTTACTTCCAAGAATGAGATATCAATTTCTTTTGAAAGCTCTGCATTTTCAACTTATAATCGAAATTCATGGTTCATTTATTGCGAAAGCTAAGAAGTTTAAAAAGAGACTACTTTGCGCCCTGTACGTAAATGCAGTTTCCGTACATTACTTGTTATGAATTTCGTTCTTGATATAATAGCTGACAGTTATCATCCACACTATCGAATAACATCGAAGTTTGTATTTGTCCTCAATTTTACTGATCGCTACTGATTATTTTGACGAAATCCTGGTTAACATTATGTTTATCGATACTTAGCCTGTGATATTCAACGCACTTACTGTTTCGGTTTCTCCTTCTAGAGTCAAGGCGTGATTACATAAGTAGAAGTCTGTATGCATACACTAATAATCATCTATATCTAGTTCTAGCGTCTGTTTGTTTGAAATATTTCTTTTGCAACTATTATTAAATGCGTAATAAGCATCCTTCCAGAAAGAATAAGCAACAAGGAACTCTGGGAACGAACCAACCAAGAACCTATCACGCAACAAATATGCAGGAAGAAGTGGAGATGGATTGGCCATGCACTGAGAAGGCCGACTGAGGATATCACGCGTCAGGCCCTCGAATGGAATCCCCATGGGAAGCGACGAGTTGGGCGTCGGTGCCGAGGGTGACATGGAGGAGGTCGTGCGAGGAGCAAATGAGAGCTTCTGGGCTGTCGTGAGACCAGGTTCAAAAGATCTCAGAGAACAGAGGTCACTGGAGGCGTGCTACTGAAGCCCTATGTTCCACTAGGAACCCAAGGGACTAATAATAATAATAATAATAATAAGCATCCTTAGCAATCGTAGTGTTATACCTGGAATCCTGAAAAACGATTTTGTCGTTGGTTAGCTTTTATTTCACATCGATATTTTCAACGACTACTTTCTTTCCTGTATGTATTTGCAAAATACCCTTTAGGCTGTTTTTAAAATCCGTTTTACACTGATAATTCACTTAGTGACATCACTGTTTACTATTTATCTTCTTTTTGACTGCGCGTAAAGTAAATTGACTCTTGGGGCAATAACGTTTATTTTCATTATATATCAGATTATTTTATTCGATAGGGAGCACAATATTAGAGTATTATTTACTAAATGGTGCTTCAGGCATACTTTATTGCTCATTGACAATGATTGTGGTCCTGCAAAAAAGGAATGTGTAACTTCAGTCAATATATAGAGATTAAAAGGTCACTTATATTGCTCAGAACTACATTTGCTGGCAAGTATTTGATGACATTTAACCTGTAATTCTGACGCAACTGTGTATGTTTTCTGGACCTGAGAGAACTTGGATTAGGCTGTTTGTTGACTCTTCCGAGATGTTTTACTGAGGTTTCGGAATTTATATTGTCATGGATGAAAACTTCAAAGGAAAACCACACACCAAGAATGTCAAAGCGGCTCATTGTAAACGCCTACATAGACATTTAAAAAGGCGTGTTGAGCGAAAAAATACTTCTCTTCAATTAGCTCCGGAATCACCAGCCCTACACTACGCATATTTCAACAATTCATGTTTGAACACCAAGTTAATGGTGGTAGGTTCATCAACGCGAGTTACAAAATCAAATTTACTTATGAAGTTATTGATTGGAGAAATGAATATGCAAATTCATGATTGGGTTGATTATACAGTGTCAATAAAACTTTGTAAGATAGAGTGAAAACGGTTTCCTCTTGAATATTGACTAACAGTTTACAGAAAAGTGAGGTATTTTTTCAAATAGACATTTACAAGTGAATTTCTGCCTTCAGTATACCTCCTCCGTTTTGTACGTTCCATATATATAAAAGGAATCTTGTAAAATGTTCGGTTCGATCTGCAGAAGTCATTTGCTTTGATGACAACAATGTAAAAAGGGCTGGATAATACCCTAAATTCACTCAAAATAGTTATCCGGTTGTGTTCATGACCAATAATATGAGCCGAAAAAAAGCCGAGAATAATGATAATTTATGAGACATCTGTCGTGAAACGTGGATTTAATGGTGACTTCATCGCTGAAACAATGCCTCCACGTTTGGGGAATTTTTCAGATAATTTTTCTTATGTTATGCAACTGACAAGTTATGGGTTCAAGCAGTAAAGAAATACTGTCGGACTCAGCTTCTGTCTTTATTGATGAAACTGCTCTTATGGAGCTAGTTATATAGAGTGAAAACTTAGTTCAGTCCTTCACTGAATTTCTGACCATTACCTGTCATGGTTGAATGAAAGACAAACGATAAGAAGTTCCGTACTTACTCCTTTGATATGAATAACGTGAACAGTATAAAAAACCCATTGCTATTGGTCTGCAGATCTTTAGATGTTTATTCCTTTGCACCACAATATCTTATTCTGATGACGCAAACCCATATCACTGTGAATAATGACATTTGAATAGATATTCACTTGGATTACATGAGTACGTGGAAACTAACAGACTCCCGAAATCGTCAGTGCATTCTTTTGGTCTCCGAATCTAAAAGCCTAAGAATTTATGGTAAAATATACGTTTATCTAGCGTAATAGGGTATTACGAAGACGAGTCAAACATGTCGACTACTTGTAGCTGAAATTCAGAATTTTGCACGACCTTAGTGCTACCAATGGTGATAAAAGGTATTACTGAAAACGATCTGAACTTTAGCATTCTATATATGCTGAAAAGTGGTATTTTCTTGTTCATTTCATAACATATAGAATCTTCTTATGTTTTCAATTGAATTTAATGCCTCCCTTCTGTACTATTCAGGTCCTGTAAAATCTTGCAGACTTTTCAACATATGTCAGTGTGATGGTGCCTGTAAACTCGCTTCTCTCATGTTAAATTACTAATATGAGAATGAAATATTTATCATTATTTATGTATTGGTAACCCTGTTAGTACGTAAAAGGTTTTTACAACTATTTTCCGCATGACATAGTATACAGGATGATTTACGTATCTGTCTGACTAACTAGCTGACAAAATCAACACAGATATATTGGCTCAAGTTGCCTGACTTTACAGTAGTATAAAAGAATTATTATTATTATTTGTTCCTTGGGTTCCTAATGAAACATAGGGCTTCCGTAGCACGTCTCCAATGCGCTCTGTTCTCTCAAATCCTTTGAACCTGGCTCCACAACAGCCCACAAGCTGTCATTTCCTCCTCGCACGATCTCCTCCATGTCACCCTCGGATGTCCAACTGGTCGCTTCCCATCTGGGTTCCACTCGAGGGCTTGACGCGTGATGTCCCCAGTCGGCCTTCTCAGTGTATGCCCAATCCAATCCAATCCATCTCCACTTTCTTCTGCATATTTGTTGAGCGATAGGTTCTTGGTTGGTTTTTTACCAGCCAGCAATCCATCTGAGCTTCAGTAACGAGCCAGCATAGGCAGTTGTTGATGAATGTCTGTAGTTTGTTGGAAATGCCTTTCGTAGCGCGCCAAGTCTCTGAACCATACAGGAGTACTGACTTGACGTGGGTGTTGAAAATCCTAATCTTGTTCCACATGCTGAGTGCAGATCTCCACACTGGTTTCAGGCTAATGAACGCCTGTCTTGCTTTTCCAATCCTGGCTTTGACATTCTCGTCTGTGCCGCCTGTAAATGAAACCATGCTGCCTAGGTAGGGGAAAAAGACTACCTCCTATAAGTTTCTCCGTTGATGATGATTGGAGCTTGTTGTTGCTGTTGTTGTTGGTTGAGTATCTTCATCACCTCTGTCTTCTTTACATTCACTTGAAGTTCCTTCTTCGCTTCCTCTCCTGTCAACTTGTTAGTTTTCGCCTATAGATCTTCAAGTTTGTGTGACATCAGACACAAGTCATCGCGAAATCTAAGTCTTCTAGGTTCTTTTCCGCAGTCCAGCGTATCCCACTCTTCTCACAGCTCCCCACTGTTTGCTGCATGATCCAGTCGACCACAATCAGGAATATCATGGGGGATAGTAGGCAACCTTGTTTTTCTCCTGTCTTCACTTCAAAGGCATCACTGAGCTTCCCATTGTGAATTACTTGGCATGTGGCGTCCTCATATAGTTGTTGAATGAGACTGATACAGGTTTGCGGTATTCCATAGTATTGAAACAGTTTCCAAATTACTTCTCGGTTGACTCTGTCGAAGGCGTTTTCAAAGTAGATGAAGTTGAGGTGGGGTTGAGTTGACTGCCATTCTATACTCTGTTCTATGATGATGCGTGGTATGGCGTTGCAATTTGGTCCGCAAATGATTTGTACTTCCTGAATCCAGCCAGCCAGCCTGTTCTGGTCGTAGTTTTGAATCTAGCGCATCCTTTAGTCTCTCCAGGATGATGCGGCTTAATATTTTACTCGGCGTGGACAGTGGTTGGGCGTGATTCCGCGCCAGTTCTTGCAAAGACTTAGGTCTCCCTTCTTCGGGATTTTGACAAGGTAACCCTTCTTCCAATCTACAGGTACCTTCTCTTCCTTCCACACCTTCTGCAATAGTGGTGTGAGCATGTCCGCTGTTGTCTCTGCGTCTGCTCTCAGTGCTTCTGGCGGGATGCCACCTGGTCCTGCTGCTTTCCCACATTTCAGTAGCTTTATGGCGTTCAGGACTTCCATTTTCGTTGGAGGATTTATGTTCACTTGTAATTCAGCAGCTGCAGGTGGTATTTCTGGACGAAGTGCAGGTGGTGGTCGATTCAAGAGCTTCTTGAAGTGGTCGGCCCATTGTTTCCTTTGTTTCTCTTCTTTGGCAATTAAATTTCCTTCATCATCTTTTATTGGTTTCATGTGTGTTGATCTCTTCCCAGATAGTAACTTGGTTATTTGATACAATGTTGTCAGGACTCTCCTACCTGCAACCTGTTCTGCTTCATTTGTATAAAAGAATAGGTGGATGGAAAAGAAGTGACATGGAAGTAGATAAAGTTGTGTAAGGGAACAAGCAGTTTTAAGCTAAAGGTTAGTTCGAATATTGAAACTTTAGATGTGTTGATTACTTCACTTGGGAAGTCAGATCAGCCCTGGTGGCTCAGTAGCCGACAAAATCTCTGCACAGATACAAAACGCTTGATTGACTTTTACCAACTTATGCCATCTGTGGCACCGCCGTGATATCCAATTGCCTATTAAAGGTCTAGTGTACTGTGCTGCAGTCCGCTGTGAAACATGGCCATTAAAGGTAGAAGACATGAGAAGGCTTCAGGTGTTTGACTACTTTTCTTTCTAGAATAGGCCGTGTTTCTTGGTGTCAGCATGTAAGTAACACAGAAGTCATGCGTGGAGTTTTGTGGAGGAGAGGTAAGGCAGTTGATGCGGTCGTGAACCCCCATCGACTGAGGTGGCTGCGACGTGTTACGTATGTTTAGCCACAGTCTGCCTCATCGCACTATCTTAACCGAAGTAGTTTCAGGGTGGAAAAAGACTCGAAGTGGCCAGAACTAAAACATGAAATCAGTTCATGAAGTCCTTGGATGCTCGTTTGAGCCGTGTCAAGCGATGCAGACTACCCGGTTGAGGTCTGCGGAACAAGAAAAACCAGCGGTTGGAAGCTATAGGTGATATGGCTCATAACCCATGTCAGTGGTGCAGATGTGTGCGCACATCCTCCTAATCCTAACCGCTATACTTGACCTCATCATTTTCTCATTCCTCCTTCCTGTATTTAAATAGTTTCTACTTTTGACTGATTTTTCTTTTCTTCTTCATCTCCCATTATATTGCATTGTTACTTGATGTGGTGATGTGAAGTGTAGCAAGCTGGACCGTTTCGAAGTAATACCTAGTCCTATGTTGATCTTGATGATGATAATGAGATGTTAAGGAGTAAATACATCTGCGCTGTTGAAACCGGTTTTCAGCCACGTCACCAAGAACCCTCAACCACTGATTCCTTTAATTTTGGGGACCCCAACCAGGCAGTCTATACCTCCCCACAGGACTCATACCAACAGTTAGGGACTTCATCAACTGGTACCACGTCTTGGTCTAGCCACCCTGAACCCGTCTACTGTAAACGACAGACGCTATCTTTATGCATCTTTATAAATCACATCTTAATATCTAAAAGAAGTTTGTACAACTCGTCTCACTACCTTAGTAATCTCACTTCAATCTTGTTTAGTTTACTTAAAGTGTTTACAGTCGACATTCTGCATTTTCTTCATTTCAGCAGTTGTCTTGTTTTTCTGCCTTCTGAATTCGTTACATGACAACTTTCTTCATGTGTTAACTTCATAAAATCCCTAACTCTTGGTAATTGTTACACAATCAGTGTTTAAGTAGAACTCCTTTCCACTCTATCGTTAAACGTTTTATTAACACTGTATAGTTAACCCATTCAGTACTGTGCATCCCGAATCACCACCTATCTAAGCGTGTCATGGTAGGGGAAGTTAAATTAGGTTGAAAGAGGGTTCAGGGTGGCGAATTTTAAGACGTGACACAAGTCGATGAAGTCCCTGACTATTGGTCTTAGCCATGTGAAGAGATGTAGATCAGCTAGCTGCCTGGGGACCCCGAGATGAAAAGAATCAGTGGTTGAAGACTCCTGGTGACGTGGCTGAAAATCAGTCACAACGGCGCAGATGTATTCACTCCTTGACATCTAAAGCTTAATTAATCGCTCATACTTTTGTCTTCAAGTTTTTTGTTATCTTCTACAATTTTGTCTACTTTGATATCACTCCTTTTCTACCTACCCGTTGTTTGTTTACTACTGTGAAGTGTGACATCTTCAGTCGATGCGCATGTGTGCGGGGTTCTACGTTGATTTTACGAGTCAGTCATGTCTCTTATTAATAAATTCAAGGGTAATTTTGATTTTGTAACCGTTGATTAATCTACCACCATAAACTTGGTATTCGAACATGAATTGTTAAAACATATATATTAGTGTCGGTCCGGTGATTCCGGAGCTAGTTGAAGAGATATTTCTTCGTTCACCCCAACTTTTGAAAGCAGACTACGGTTTATATTTCCAATATGCGGTATCAAATATGTAATTTATTCCAATCATGAATCAGGCAAGCATAGTAACGTTATCATTTATGCATTATTTTTAGATTAATGGTGAATTAAAACACTAACAAGATAATTCATGCTCAAGATCTGCTTCCATCAGTGTACATTCATCATTATAGTAACCGGCTCACTGTGTTACGTGAAAATTAGACGCTCACAATGAGTTATCCTGTGGCTGTGATCGTTTATTCAATTAGATCAAGAATTCTGTATTTAAGAAAATGCGACTTAAATCTTGGGATTTTGGCTCACGAAAAGTGGATAATTTTGACGGCATGATGTTATTCGTATGTTATTTTTACATTGATTGTCAATCTGTCAAATCTTTCTTGAGTTGTGTATATTTTGAACTAACTGAAGCTTTTAAGTTAGAAATACTTTTTCATAGTTTATACACGGAGCAGTGAGTCACCTGTTTGACTTCTCTTTCACCTCACAAAATTTGGATAGCTAGGTGGTACTACTATTTTGCACGTAATGTTTGACTCATAACCTAGTGCATAAAATTGTACGTGATTTCTGAGTTATTATTATTATTGTATTATTTGTCTTAACGGTTGGTTTATCATTAGTGAACTGACTGTCTCAGCCAAATGATTCAAGTTGGCAACCACATGCGTGTTTGTGAACTGGTCAGTCAGCAACACCTCTTATAAGAGTTGATGAGATACTGCTTGAGTTCCCAGATCTGGGTATATGCAGAAGGACTCGAACCCTTTGCCCACTAGTTAAAAGTCAACTACCTAGACTACTAAGCCACAGCTTCACCATTTTGACTGTAGCCAACATTGTCACTGTTACACATATATGTACGCTAACATCTTTAGGCCTCAAGAAAATCAAGTCCTTAAACTTATTAGGAAGAAGTTAAGAAAAAAACACTTTATTAAGCCTATGTTTCTCAAGTTGGAAGAAAATTTAGGAAGTATTTCACAAAGCGTGTAATGAAGTGTTGCTGATCAGCAAAAGTATCTTTTGATGCGCCTCTCCTATAGCAGACTTTAGAATAAGCTATTATGCGACTAGCTTAGTTTGATTTCTCATTCAGCCAGCATGTAGGTGACATATTCCAGTGGAAAAGCTCTTCCTGTGGATATTTGTAAAGTTTTTGCTTCAAACTGTAATAAAGGTTGTGTAAAAAGCTTTGAAATAGTAGCGGAGATAATATCGTTCCTATCGACAGCAACCGTTTAGACTTCATTAAAAATAAGGCACTAAAATATTATTTGGTTATATTTGAAAGTTACAGCGGATAATTTAGATCTGTGTCACAAGGAGGTTGCTAGCAAAAGTGATGGATAAAATGCTTCGAAGAATCTCTTTTAGTGAAGATTTAAAAGACATAACAGGTGTAGTCAGAGAAACAGTTTTCCAATTACATCTAGTCCATCAATGGAGAATATTTTGGAAAATGGGGATAATCCTTTTAATATGAATAATTTTGAGACATTTTATTGCCTCATACCTATAATTTTAAAAAATTCAGCACTAAAAAGTGTAAGTGAACCTTTTGTTCAAATACTAATTTCTGACACAGTTCTGTGAAGTATGTACTTCAAGAAATAGAGAAGAGAATGCGCTTCACCCAGCTTATTTTCTACCACTTTATCGCTTCTGTGAAGGAAACAGTTGTGAAAAACAATCAGCTTTAAAGTCATCTTGGTGTGAAGCTCATCCCTTCTTGGATTATGAAGCAAGAACGACAAACTGTCGTTTTACTGGAAAACGTTAGTTGGTAAGATGTATGAAACCAAAAGACAAAAGAAAACATAGGGCCAAGCAACACTGCGTTATGGTCCAAGTTGTCACATTTCATCTCAGAACAAGGCCGATAGCTGCTATCTTGACGTGGTGGTCGGGCTTGCATCTCAAAATGATCCAGCGATTGATTTCGATGTCCTACCATGCCAGAAATGTGTGCTGGATAGTAGGAAGATGAAAAGCAGTTACCGTTGTAGTGTAAATGACTAAGCTATGGTGAAGGTTTGAAGGTGAGATTGTACTGCTGCTAGCTAGATGAGGTATGATAGCAGTAAGGCGTTTAACTTGGATGACCAGCAGTGTCGTGTTGATGCTGCCTTCTCAACGAGAAAGGTGGGTTAGTAAAGGTCGGCTGAAAAAATTACACTCCAACCTGCCCCAAGGTCTTCCGGTGCCGGCAGTATGGATTCTGTCTTTCTGGTGTTAGACCAACCAAACCTCAAAACAACACCCCATAAAAGACTGTGTGTGAAAGGCCTCAAACAGCTGTTTCATATGTCCTGTGGTCACATAAATCTTTTTTTCATTCAGGCACGTTCAGAAGAAATAGCCTTCTACTATGTGAGCAGCCAGGAAGTGTCAACCACCTGCACTCTTCTAGTAATGCAGAAGACCCAATAAACATAACCTATTCTCCTTAACTTTGTCTCTTCCTCTGCCTTCACCTTCTGATACTATAATATTAGGCCTTTTAAGTCTTCCCTAACCTCCCACTCTGCAACCATCGCCAACAATCAAAGCCATCGAAACCTCATTTCTAGTCTCGTAAAATCCCGCCACCGATTTCATGTAAAAGCCTTCACCGTTTGAACTCTATGCCAAATCGGACTTCAAGCATCGCTCATCACAACTCTGGGGTCTCTATCCATGGATTTATGCTGTGTCTCTGAGATACTTATATAGGACTCGAGTGTGGTTATTAAATTGACCTCACCTGACCAGAGAGGAGAATCTTCAAACTTAACCATACGAGTATCCGAAGACCCGATGGCCTAGCTCTCTTGAACTCGCTGGTGTAGGCATAGGGTTGAGTTGTAGAACAGAATGTGCGCTTTTTCAACTAGATAGCAGTAAACAGCCGTCTATGTGCTCTTTGACTGAATGAATCTGTAAGAAGTAGGAAGAATCGTTAAACTAGGTGATACCTGTTTGTAGTCTCCGCGTACGCAGCCACTGACTGAAGTCAGAATGATGCAAAAGATAAATTCTACGAGAAGCTTTCAACTTTACTATAGAAAGCAAAACATTCGGATGTAGTAATAATGGCAGGTGACTTTAACGCTCAGTTAGGGAAGGTGAGCCAGTTGGGAGTGTATTTAGGGGAGAATTTGCGGGACACTGTGAAAACGAGTTGACATAAGTGACCGTTTGTTGCATTTTTGTTTTGACAATCACCTATTTCTGGCAAGTACTAACTATAGGCGTAAGGAGAGACACTTTCTTAGATGGTGTCCGCCAACTTCAAACCAACGATGGACACAGATAGATCACATTGGCATAAGCCATCGTTGGAGAGAATAGGTAAATGATTGCCGCTCTTCATAAATAAATATTTCTGGAGTAGCAGTCTGAACTCCAGTCATGCGCTAGTATGGGCTCGCATATATATCTGAACCTTACTGGTCTCATGAAATAGGCAATAGTAAAGCCTGTCTGTGGTCCACTGGAAGATGAGAACGTCAAGTACACTTTTAAGGAAGAGGTTGCTAAGCATTCATCCGAACATGACAGCAGTGATCATCCTGACGAAACCTGGCGTGATATTAAGTCGGCTGTAGAAATATCGGTAAATACAGTTGCTAACGTACACCAGGTTTAAAAATGTCATCGCAGGTGATTGATGCGGGAAGACTGATTCCAGCTGCTCTGACCACGATAAAGACTGAAAGCAGCTCAAACGTAAGTTAGTCAAGAGTCTTCGCGTTGATCGTGAGCAGTGGTGGGTGGGGAAAGCAAGAGAGATGGAGAAGGCATCAGCGTTGGGTAACATTCGGCAACTAGTAAGGCCTATTAAAGGCGCCGGCAAGAAGAAGACGATTGTTAGTGAAACCATCACCGTAAAGGATGGAAAGCTGATGATCTCACAGGTTAGACGGCCTGAACGTTGGGCAGAACACTTTGAAACACAGTTCAGCTGACCTAGTAAAGCGCTTCAGTTGCCTAACATCCAACCTAAACCTGAATGGGACGTAGATGCCGGTCCTCCAACTCCTTGAAAGTGAGGAGGCTGTATCGAATCTGAAACGATGCAAACGATGCAAAGTGGCAGAACGTGATAGTTTGCCACCTGAAGTCTTCAAGGACGGAGATAGGGAGTTGCTGTTTAAAGTGATGAAGGTACTGGTAGTGTATTGGAATCGGAAGTTGTGCCATCAGACCGGTGTAATTCACTGATCATCCCAGTCTATAAGAAGGGAGAGAGGTCTTCCTGTGACAATCAAAGGTTATTTATTTTTGCTAAAATCATGTCCAAGATAGAGGCCAGCAAACTCGAGAAAATCAGACAGCTTTTAAACCTAGATGAGAGTGCATCGATCATATTTCTACCCTCTGGAACAGAGGCATACTTACCAACCAATGGCTGATACTTGCAATGTTTGTTGACCTGAAGGTGGTATTTGACTTTGTCGACCGTGACTTGTAGTGGCAGTGTCTGACTGTGAAGGGAATACCAAGCAAGTAGATAACGCTAATCGAAGCTCTCTACTTAGACTGATGTAACCATGTGAGGGCTTATGGAGAGTTGTCTAGTGGTGTACGACAGATATGCTCAATGTCACCGTTCCCATTTAATTTCGTTAAAGACTTACTAGTAGACAAACTCAGGTACGTCTGACTTCGCAGGAATTAACCTACTCCTTGTGATCATCTGGTTGACTTGGAGTATGTGTACGATATTGTACTGGTGGGTGAAGACGGTGACAAAATGCACGGTCTTCGAAACAAATTCGACAGCAATCTGAGTATGTTTGGCACGCGTTTCGCTTGCACCTATCAAACGTAAGATGATGCTCCAAGTCTGGTCTGCAACCATTCCTGGTTTAACAGTAAGGGGTGAAGTGGTGGAATGCACTAACCACTTCCCTTACTTAGGGAGTCGCATCAGCCCGAACGGGCTGATTTCTGATGAAATCTCATCTCGAGTACAAAAGGCCCATTTGGGACTCGCCAACCTGCCTCATCTCTTGGATGCCTGGGGAGATATACGACCATCCGCCAAGGGACAAGCATACTCCGCTGCTGTTAGTTCTGTCCTACTGTACGGCTGTGAGACATAGCTGTTAAGAGTAGAAGACATGAAGTGATCACAGGGTTTCGATCACATTTGTCTTCGTAGCAGTTCTAGCGTTTGGGGAAATCACCGTATGAGATGTTGAGATCAGACAAAGGTTGCGAAATAAGATAGGCAAGTCGATCGATGAGGTTGTGAACCTTAGTCGGCTAAGATGGCTTGGACATATGCTGTGCATACTGACTCACTGCCTACCTCTCCGTGTCAAGGTAGGGGAAGTTAAATTAGGTTGGAAGAGGGTTCAGGGTGGCGAATTTTAAGACGTGACACAAGTCGATGAAGTCCCTGACTATTGGTCTTAGCCATGTGGAGAGATGTAGATCAGCTAGCTGCCTGGGGACCCGAGATGAAAAGAATCAGTGGTTGAAGACTCCTGGTGACGTGGCTGAAAATCAGTCACAACGGCGCAGATGTATTCACTCCTTGACATCTAAAGCTTAATTAATCGCTCATACTTTTGTCTTCAAGCTTTTTGTTATCTTCTACAACTTTGTCTACTTTGATATCACTCCTTTTCTACCTACCCGTTGTTTGTTTACTACTGTGAAGTGTGACATCTTCAGTCGATGCGCATGTGTGCGGGGTTCTACGTTGATTTTGTCAGTCTGAACATTGTTTGAGAATGCACTAAGTTGAAAGATAAAGTAGTAGAGAAGAAAGTAGTTGAAAGTTGTAGGAAGTCAACAAATGAGGGCAAAAAAAAGTGAAGGAATACTAAAATCCAGTTTGAAGATTAAGATGACGACAATTTGCGGTTACATCTATGCTACTGAGATCGGTTCTCAGCTACATTACTTGGAGTCCTCAACCACGCCGACCTTAACTGAGTAGTGTACATCCATTTACACGGATCATACCATTAATGAAAAGGCAGAATGGTGTGACATACATAGCAACTTTAGTTTTAAAGCAATGCACTTCGTTTCAGATGTTCATCGATACAATATTCTATGCAATTTAACATGTAGTTCATGATTTCAAGATATGAATTCATCAAAAAGTTGAAAATAGAATCCTAGTGTTAGTTGTCGATGAAATCTACTTTTTCATTTGTGACAATTTGGTGTTATTAAAGCTATTTTACTATTTATAGGACAAAAGAAAATATTTGAATTGTACTTTTTTAGTATACATTTGTAGTGAAAAGATGTCTTTTCGAGTAGAACACTTGAAAACAATAGTGCACTAGAATAGTTTGTTCGCTAAGTTCTCTCATTTTTTCACACATAGCACAATTGAAAAATGACACTGTGGCTTATAGGCTCAAGTATTCCATTTTCAGTCATTGGGTTTGGAACACCTTTTAATCCGTCTAATGAGTAAAATCATAAGCCTGTGCGTGAGTAGTGTGCACACATGAGTGTAACGTGAAATGATTGCGGATGAATAAACGGTAGTAAGTTCAGTGAGCTTAGACTTCGCTTATTCCTGGAGTTATCAGACTTGTTTATTTACTATTAGCAAGTGGGGTAACTGAGATAACTAAGGAGGCTGACCCTATAAAATATCTTCACTCGAGTTATCCGTGTATTTAGTGGTAATTGTATCAGATCTTCCGTAATTGAGTCAAGAGGAATATAATCTTCTCTTCCAACTATGTAACTTATACAAAACATCCTGTTTACATTTACTCTGATTTCAGTCGTGCAATGTGGATCCATTTTTATCATGGTCTGTTAAAGGCTCCGTTTACAAAGAAAAATGGATTCCTGTAACTCCACACGCCGCTAGTGGTTTCCTTATCTCTGATTGTAATTCACCAGTGAATTCCACATGGGTAAAATTTGTTTGCTTATGATAATTGGTATCAGTCATTTGATTTAGAGTTAGAAAGCGAATCTGGTTCAGAAAAGTCGGATACTTCTTTCTCTTTGTTTCCTGATTACCAAAATGATGAAGGTTTACTTTGTCTTCCAGTGTCTTCGATTACCGGCGTTTTGGATGAAATTTATTGTAAGTAAATCATCTGAATATTTCTAAAATGAAACTACCATCTAGAGTGTAGCAAGAAAAGGAAATGATCATCTGGCTAAGTAAATTTCTCATACTATGAATAATATGCTGCATTCACCTTGAAATTAATAGACCCCTTCCCTTTTCGATAAGCAGTAAATCATAATTGTGCTTAAATTAATGTTGTGTTCAGGTTAAGTTGTTCTTTATTCTAAACTTTTGCTTAAAATAACTTTTTATCTATAACCAGGCATTAAAACATTTCCCAATCAAAATACCATATAAGAAAGAGGAAAGGAACATTTGAACCAGATTTAAGTGTGCACACCCACATATTGAGTTATGCATTAATTAGTTTTTCTAAATGAAACGTTAATACGCTGTTAGTCATCAAAACAATTTAGGACTTTTGAACTTGATCAGCTTATAAAATCACTGTATGGTTTAGAGTACGGAGTTTCTGTGTATTACGCATGAAACGCTCAATTAACAGCCTCCTGTGCGGATGCTTCGATATTCAGGGTATTTTCAGCTTTATATTAATGATGGATAGAGGCTAGCTGTGGGATCCAGGACGCGCATTTCGCCCTATTTGGGAGTCGTCAGCTGGATTTACCTGCTTCCCAGCATTGTAGGGTGTAAATTATTTATACTTTTTATCCTGAATTCCATGAGTCCACTTTTACAAGCCACCCGCAATTTATACTTGTAGAGGTGCAGGTAGTCCCTAAACAAGATGCATTCGGTACCTATATAGCATTGACTGTATGTAATATGTTACTGAAATGAGCTAGTAAATGGATGTATAGGATATTCATTCCTCATTTTTTCGTTTGAGGCTGTGGCTCATAGGTGTAGGTACTTGATTACAAACCAGAGGGTGTCAGGTTCAAACCCCACTTTATCTACCGAGGTCTCAAGAGCTGAGTAGTATTCTTAGCCCTCACACAATAGGTATGGCTTATTGCCTACTGCATGTGTGCTGAGTAGATTTCGATTGATTTTTTTAGTTTATGATGGTGAACTGTACTTGAACAAAAAGTAGTTGCGATCAACAAAAAAACTACAAGTTCATGTACTCTAGACAATAATGTAAATCTGTCGCATCGAAATTTTGATATTAATTATTGAATTACTACTGAGAAAAAGTGATTATACCACTAGAAGTGCAGTTTTTTGACAGCAAATGTTTCCGTCAGTAGACTGAGGGCTTAAATCTCACTAGTATATAAATTCAAAAGTGAATTCTTAATTTGGGTACGAAAGCAACTCGACAGTTTGACAAATACAACAGATTTTCCTACCACACGTATAAACAATAGAGAGTGAAATAGGATGTCTTGAAAATGGCACTTATTATGGTAAGTATCACAAAAAGGGTGTCCAATGCTTCTTATTATTCAGCTGAATACAAAACAGGATTTGAAGTCGATAATGTTTGCTTATAATCAGTATTGTGTGAGATATAGTCTTTATAACAAACAATACAGATTGAGAAAGAGATGAGGAGGTATGGCATGGAAGTGCTTAGAATCTGCGAAAGAAGATGGAATGAAAGTGGACTCTCCAAACTATCAAGTGGGGAGTCAATAATCTACTCTAGTCACCCAGAGGACATACCACGAGCACACGGAGGGAGTGGCTATCATGATGTCTCCATGAACATCGAAGGCTCTCATGCAGTGGGAACTAGTCTCTTCCAGGATCATGACAGCAAGATTCAACTGAAAAGGAAGGAGAGTCACAATCATAAAATGCTACACTGTGCACCTACAAATAAGGCAGATAAAGAGAAGAATGAGGGATCTTACAGACAACTATAATCAGTAATGGACAAGACCCCACCGCACTTGGCGACATCAAAATTCTAATGGGTGGGGTGATATGAATGCCAAACTGGGAGCGGACAACACAACATAGGAAGAGAACTAATCATGGGTCAAGAAACACTCGGTGAGTCGATGAATGAGAATGGAGAACTATTTGCAGACTTTTGAGCGTTCAACGATTTGGTGATTGGAGGCAGTGTGTACAAGCAGAAGGATATTGACAAAGCGAGTGACATGGATTTGATTTCACCAGACACCAGGACATACTACACTAAGTATCAGATCGACTTCATCTCAATGTGAATAAAGTGGGGATGGAGATACAGCCCACTGGACACAAGATCAGATGAGGCAGGGGAGCGGATGTAGGTTGACACCACTCACTATCTAGTGCAAGGAACCTGCCTTCAAAATCAAGTTGAAAGTCTTCAAGGTAGTTGGTGATAGACGACCACAGTTCGAGTTGAATACCCAGAATAGAAAGTGAACTGAAGGACGAAACTACAAAGGACATCTTCACGTCAGCCATCAAGACAAAGTGGGGGAGATTGGGCAACATCTCTGGAGGACCGGGCGTGGGAGAACAATGGAACTCCTTGAAAGAGATGAAAAAAATCTGCATAACCGTATTAGAAAAGAAGATAAGGAATGGATCTCGACGGATCTCCACATGGAAGCTGATAGAAGACATGAGGATGGTAAAGCAGAAAATAGACCAGTGCAGTGCAAGAATGAACAACGAGAAGAGGAACTGAACACAAAGTAAAAAACACTACACTGGACAAAGAAGTGAAGTAGAGCTCATGCAAAGACAGAAGACACCTCTACGACACACTTTCAAGTGAAGCAGAACAGGCTGCTGCTAGGAGAGACCTGACAACATTATATCAAATAGACAGGTTACTATCTGGGAAGAGATCAACGCAGATAAAACCAACGATAGATAGTGAAGGAAAGCTAGAAACAAAGGGGTGACCATTTCAAAAAACTCTTTAATCGACCATCACCTGCAACTCATCCGGAAATACCACCAGCAACGGCAGAACTACTAGTGAACATAGACCCTCCGACAATAGCAGAAGTCTTGAATGCCATGAAACAGCTGAAATCCGGGAAAGCAGCAGAACCAGATAATATTCCGCCAGAAGCACTGAAAACAGATGCAGAGGCAACAACGGACACGCTCACACTACTACTGCAGAAGGTTTGGAAGGAACGAAAGTTACCTGCAGATTGGAAGAAGGGCTACCTTGTCAAACTCCCAAAGAAGGGAGACCTGAGCCTTTGCAAGAACTGGCGCGGAATCATGCTACTGTCCACCCTGAGCAAAATATTAGGCTGCATCATCCTGGAGGGACTAAAGGATGCACTGGATTCAAAATTATGACCACAACAGGCTGGATTCAGGAAGAATAAATCATGTGCAGATCAAAATGGAATGTTACGTGACGCATTATCATAGAACAGAGTATAGAATGGCAGTCAATTCAACTCTACCTCAACTTTATCGACTTTGAAAAGGCCTTCGGCAGTATCGACCGACAAGTAGTTTGGCAGGCAGCTGCTCCACCTCTACGATTTCAGTGACACAAACCGTTACCAACCTCATTCAACATCTATATGACGACGTCACATGCTAAGTGATTCACAATGGAAAGCCCAGTGACGCCTTTGAAGTGAAGACAAGAGTAAGACAAGGCTGCCGTCTACTGTCACCGGTGATCTTCCTGATTGTGGTCGATTGGACTGGATCATGCAGCAAACAGTGAAGAGCGAGAAGATGGGGATACGCTGGCTGGACCAATGAAAATACCTTTGAAGATTTGGATTTTACCGATGATGGTTTATGTCGCACAAACGTGAAGATCTGCAGGCAGAAACCAACAAGTTGACAGAAGAGGTGAGGTGAGGCAGCGAAGATGGGACTCCAGGTGAACGTAGAGAAGACAAAGTTGATGAAGATACCCAACCAACAACAAGAACCACAAGCATCAATCACCATGAACGGGAGAAACCCATAGGAATTAGTCTTTTTCCCCTACCTAGGCAGCATGGTTTCAACTACGAGCAGCGGTGGTAGCACAGATGAGGACGTCAAAGACAGGATCGGAAAGACAGCAAGACAGGCCTGCCTTCATTGATCTGAAATCAGTGTGGATATCTACCGCACTACACTCAGCATAAAGCGTGAACAAGATCCGGATTTTCAACACTACTAATGTCAGTCAAGTCAGTGCTTCTACGTGATGGTTGAGAGACTTGGCGGCGCGTTTCGAAAAGCACTTCTAACAAACTACAGACATTCATCAACAGCTGCATACGCTCGTTGCTGAAGATCAGATGTCCAGAAAGAATAAGCAACAAGGAACTCACTCTGGCTGGCAACGAACCAACCAAGAACCCCATCGCCCAACAAATATACAGAAGAAAGTGGAGATGGATTGGGCATACACTGAGAATGCCGATTGGGGACATCACGCACCAGGCTCTCGATTGGAACGTAGATGGGAAACGACGAGTTGGGCATCCTAGCTGAGGGTGACATGGAGGAGATCGTGTGTGGAAGAAATGAAAGCTTGTGGATAGTCGTAGCGTCATGTTCAAAAGACTGCTGAGAAGAGAGTGCAATGGAGGCGAGCTACTGAAGTCCTGAGTTCCATTAGGAACCCAAGGGGAAAATAATATAACAATAGTAACTTAGACAGGAAAAAGACTGATTGAGCGAAGATATATATTTCTTTTCAATTAGGTTTTCGTCTTGGGCTCTACATTAATATATAATTTTACAATTCAGTCAAGTGGTGGGGGGGGGGGGTTGGCAAACAACAATCATAGATTTCAAGTAAGTCATGAAGATGATGTTGTTTTGGAAATCAAGATGTAAATAAGAAACAGAGTTACTACAATTGGAAATATGAAGCATGTTATTCTTAGGTAAATGGAATGATTTTTGATGAATGTTCAGTCGTGAACATTAAATGATTACGTAGTAATTAGAAAACAAATGAATATTAACAGAAACAAGAAGGGGTAGAGGTGTATAAAGTAATACTAGAAGTAACATCATGTTGACGGCCACGGTAATAAAAGCGAATACAAAGGTTAAGTTTGTAAAGGTGAATTGCAATCACCTCTGCTATGTGAAGTAAGCGAGCGCGTAATCCATGTAGTAAATTAATTGGAATATGATGAATAACAGGTTGTTCCAAACTGTCTACTGGCACAGAAACATGCCCTGAGTTACGAGCACTTTCCTCAAACATTTGATAGTTGACTGTTAGTATTGTCAACCAGTATAAATACTGATTTCTACCAATTATTATTACACTTTATTTTTTCATTTGCATTCAGTGTATTATGTATTTGTTTATGGTTACACATGGCCTAATACGAATTGTGAGGCACCGCTCACCTTAAGTCTTTCTGCAGTCAAACCATGTGACACTCAAAATTTAGCTATCCAACAACCGATGATAGTTGGTCACGCTGGTGCCGGTGTTAAGCGTGAACACTACGGCAGAGGTCTAGAGTGGCCTGAAAATACAATATGTGCCTTTCGACGTGCTGAACAACTGGGAGTAAAGATGGTTGAATGTGATGCTAGTCTTACAAAGGACTTTGAAGTTGTTTTACACCATAATTTTACTCTAGGAGTCTCGGAACAATTGAAATCTGAAAGTGACTCACCTACGTTCGTCTTGGAACATAAACGTGAGTCAACTCTGTTTAATTAAAATCTAATAACTTTTTACTTTTGTATCATTTATCCGAAATATTTCATCAGGAAGTTTTGGAACAACTCAATGGGCCTTAAAGTGTAATACTAGGATGAAATAGGTATCCAGTGCTCCCAAGTCCTCCAGTAGATGTCAGTCCGTGATGTGAATATCACCTTGGAATTGACATGAAACTGTGCACTACCACAGTCCCGAAGACCCACTCTTGAGCAGGCACATCTTGTTGCCAAATATACTTCTCGACTATATTAACGTTTAAGAATACAGTCTTGGGGCAATTATCATAGAGTAGTTTTATGAACGGAAATATTTATCGAATAAGAAGCAGACAGACAGACGGAAAATTCCCAGAAGCAGTGTTCTGCTGAGCCAAAGTACGGAATATGCAGATGATAAACGGCGAAAGCAGGATATATGAAATAGGAGTGTCGATGAGACTATCTGTGGTCTGGAAGATTGGCACTATTGACGCGGCATGCTGAAGGTGAAATTGAAAACATGGGCCACAACAGGGTTCGAGCCCATGGTCTTCAGATTATTGCTCCAGCTGCGTAGAGAACCTACTAGCTGACCCGATCTTGACTCCGCTTCAAAAAGGGTCAAAAGAAGTTTTCCAAGTCTGGTTGCTTATTTTCGCAGTTTGTGCGACAGGTAGGATGTTGCCACAACAACTAGATATTAAGCTTATGGCTGTTGTAAGTATTCTAAAACTCCTTGAATTTTCACAGCAAAGTGTCACTTCACTTAAATTCAGAGTTTCTTAGAATACTCTCCCATCTGTCCAGTTTTAAAGTTTTACTAGATAACTTACGGTTTCGCATACAAAGTTTTCTAGAATATTTTTTCGCCCTGTGTATTTCTTCCATTTCAAGTAATATTTCTTTTATCTCTTTTTTTCAAAGCTGATGGCGTGGTAAACCAAGATAGCACAGATTTAATTGTAAACTACTCTCTATCCGAAATTCGCGAATTGTTAAATAAAGTTGACCAGTCTCCTGTCGTTAATCAGAGTAAATATCCAGAACTTTTAGCCTTGATTGGTCCTATGATGGATATTCAAAGCAGTGAAGCTGCACCGGTCCCATTACTAAAAGATGCATTTCAGCAGACTTCCACAAATCTAGCTTTTAATGTAGAGATAAAGTATCCGCCGGAAACTCCTTTGAGTGCCATTGCTGAAGAATGTGTCAAAAACAAAACCATAGACTCTTCTTTACCCGCACCGTATACATACTTCTCAAAAATCAATAAGTTTTGCGACAAAGTACTGGATGTAAGTAATGTTTTCATTATGAAGCTAATACGTGCGCATGTTACGTTCACTAGCTACTAAAATGCATAACATAGTCTACTAACTTTTTCATTCCTGATGTCAAGCATTGCAGCATGGAAAATTGATTTATTCATTATCCGAAATAACTGTAACAGCGAAATACGAGAGTTGACGTTCGTAGAGAAATGTTTTGAACCTAGCTATTTACTGTAGATTTAGAGGATCTAAGTTAGATCTGACGTAGATAGCGACAGGAAAACATCTATAAATTATGTTGACCTTTTGGTATTCATTAGACCTTGAAATTTGCTTTTAAACGTTTCACTGTAGCATCAGGTGAAACAATCACCTATATTTGGCCAATAAAATGTTAACGACTCAGGATTGTTATCGGGTGCAATAAGATTGTCTTGACTAATCATTATTATTCGAAGCGTTGAGAAAAGATACGTGAACCAAAGTGTAAATGTCAGTCTGGTTGAAGAGGTAACATAAATAGGAAATGTCCTGACCTGGGAATAGCCGAGACCATTGTAAATATGTATAAGCCGTTGTATTCTGTACACAACCGAACGTTGCGATACACCTTTAGTCTTACCGCCTTTTCTATTTGCCGAGGAAATGAGCAACCGTCAAGGGTGGAATCTTGGGGTTATTGATCAAGTGTTCACAGGTACATGTAACTACGTTATACCACAGATCAAAAGCTCGTCATCGATATTTGATAGGGAGAAAGTCATCCATAATTTAGTTGTTAGAGCATCCGGTTCTAATCCAGCTGTGATCCATGCTTTTATGCAATTCTGATTACCATCTACTTACACGAATGATTTCGCAAGTAGTCGAAATGTAATCAACAGTCGCGTGCACTCTGTCGCAGTAGGCAATGAGCCACACGTATCTTGAAGGCTGATGGTGATGGAACAGGGTTCGAACCAGCGGCCCATCGATTAAAAGTCAGCTGTCTAAACTATACTTCTGAAACTTGAGTTAAAACTTGATTTTTGTTATACCAATTAAGGAAGCTGTTATCCTTGAAAATAAATATTCTACTTAAGAAAATCTCTTCAATTACTGGGCTTGATACAACTTATTAAACTGCCTGATCTCAGTTTTGTATTCACAGGACTTAATATTATCAGAATTGTTTTTTTTTTTAACATTCTTGTAGACAATATGGTTAAACGCTGGACCCAGATATGTCATCCTGTCTTCATTCAATCCAGATGTATGCCTGGCTTTGAGACTAAAACAGTCTTTCCTACCAGTGTTGTTTATTTCACGTGGTGGTCATCCGTGTAATAATAGCCACAGAACAGATCCTCGACATAATAATGTATACTCGGCTATAAACTGGGCGCATATAATGAATCTAAACGGAGTTGTTACAGTGGGACATCATTTTGGTTCAACAAACGATGTTGAAAAAGTACAGGCAGAATCACTTGCCGCATATTTGGAGCACAAACAACTTGCTTGCTTTGTGTACGGTGAAGGTGTATCAAATATGAATTTCTTTAGAGAAGCATCACAACTTGGCTTGACAGGAGTAATAGTCGACCGATTAGATGAATTCATGCATGAATACTGCGAACAATACAAAAAAGAAAGCAGACAAACGATTTGAACATTCATCTATCTTTGGAATACATACTCTTTTTTGATTCAACTAATACTCTACACTGTAACTGGAATGCCTGTGACCTCTTGAGAGTAACAGCATAAAAGTAGTAAACATACACTTTTTTCTTTGTTGCAATGTGCACAATTTTAAATGATTAAAATCTGACAAACAGTCCCTGGGAATTATTTACATTTGCATAGATCATAGTTTGTGCGATTTTCAAATAAATAAATAAATGAATATACATGTATATCAGTGTTTTTGCGCACTTTTGATTCGATCTAAGCGACGTTTGAGATCCATTAGTTCAGTAGCAGACATAGTCGGTTTTTGTTCTATTTCTGGTTGAGCATTTTCGTCAGGAGAATCGGAGTTCTGATCACCTGTGGGTTTCGTTATATTCTGAAAGAAGAAATACGCTCAGTTTGGTTAGTATCGAAATACGTAGCGATAATCGTGAATAAATACATTAAATCGGAAGATCGTGCATCTTCCTACTATTTTTGGTGTTAGTTCTGATGGACAGCTGTTCTTTCAAGAGTAATTAGTGTTAGTGATCGATAAGAATCTCGATGCGCAGTCACAATCCTGATGAACCAAAGGAACACCAGCTTCTTTATACACCCAGATACGCCTTGGTGGTGATTGCTAACAAACAAAGAACTTCAGAGATTTCTGTGGACTGACACACATCTAAAACTCACGCCTCGTTTGAAATGCTAACATTGTCCAGGAGTGCAATAATAGACATCAACCAGCTATGTGTGCTTCAGATGATTACCGATGAGGACTGAGCATGTATAAAGATTACAAACAAGACGTGAATCACGAAAATCCCCATTGATCATGGAGTGCTAATCGAACTGATCTTTAGTAATGTCCGACTGAAATTTCCATGGATGGAGGTAGGAAGTCGCTGACGGAGGTACTAGGTAGTGAATGGGAACCAAAGGTAGTGCCGTCAAACTGGTGTACTCTTCATTGACCATCAAAGCGTATAAAAGGGGAGAGAAATCCTCTTGTGATAACGAAAAGGTATTTAGTTTGCCTAAAATTACATCCAAGATCCTAGGCTGAATAGTTATCCGATGCCCAACTGGGGCTCGAGACCAGCAAACTCAAGAAAGTCAGACAGCTTTTAAACCTAGATGAGAGTATATCGATCACCACCAAAATTACGCCCCAAACCAGTGGCTAATGTAATACCAGGTGCCTGTTATGCATTGTAGACTTTATAACTGTTATTATTAACATTCAAATGCAAAGACTATTTCGTTTAAAGATATTTGGTTGAACTATTATATGCTGAAAATTGCATACTGTAGCACAAATCTTGTTTATCATTAAAAACTAAAAAGTTAAAGAGTCTTCAGTACTGGTATGCAACCACTTCCAGTTTAATGAAGTGGAATGGGACGTCGTATTATCAAAAATGTTGGAAGTTTTTTATATTTAGTACTATTCATCTGAAACACGCTTACCAGTGTTGCTTCCAAAACCGTATTTTGTATTCCTGCTTCATCAGCTGTTCCAATGTTGCCATCAACATTTGTTGTAGATATACCACCAAGACCCAGTTCTCTACGCAACACTGCAAGTCGATTCATAAATACTTTGGGATCAGTCGGCTGACCATCAATGATATCTGTATCGAAATCGGAACTCCTATCACGATATAATGAATTGTCATTGGGCTGTTCAGGAAGTAAATACATACCGTAAGTAAACCGAATAGTGATAAAATAGCCGAGTGCAGGAAACTAGATCAATGAGTGAATTACATTTTCAGCATGATAGAAGCCTAACACAACATTTCATGACTAATCAACTAACCCAGTGAAGATGCAGTCCATAGGATTAGACTGGAGGAACGAAAAGAAAGACTGCTAATCGTTTAGTCGTTTTCCATGCAAAGTACAGACTAAATAGTTGTCCTTAACCTTGATCAAAGGTGCCGTCATTCACATTTTGTTATCAGTCTAATATTAACCAGTATCAGAAGAGACAATTTTTCTATATCAAACTTGGCAGTTATTGTTAGTTTTTCCTTTTTCCTAGAGTAGTAATTCCTGTCCCCAGTGATCAATTTCCATTGTCACGTGTCAGTGCTGTGGGTGTATAACGACAGTCCCTAATTCGTAATCCATTGATTGATTAGGAGAAATCTATAATCCAGTATTATTCAGTCATACAACAGACGCCGAATTCTCAACGAGTGAGACACGGGTCCGAACCCTCTTCCAACCATTGCGGTCTGGGAGGCAAACCCGTAACACACTGGATGTGGCTTACTGCATAATGTATGAAATTGAACATGCTTATTGTGTTACACTATTCATCAATCATTCAAGTGCCTTATATCTTATATTCAAGCAGCATTTAAAATGTTAATTTTGTTGCCCCTGAGACTGGTTGAAAGGAGTGAAGATTTTTTTTTAATTATGATGAATTATTATGGAATAAAGGGACAGATGTGTTCAGAACACCAGAAATTTGTGGTAATGTTCGAGAGATTACATGATGCAATAGCTTGAAATAATATCAAATGTTTCAGAAGTCAAACAATTCGCGATTTTGTGGGAATTTCCTCGTGCTCTGAGTTTCCATACTTTAATCAACTGAGAAATGTGTTAGGCCCACCTAGTCACCGTTATTCTATGCGCGAAATACCAAGTAAAATAAAAGTAGGTTCGGAAAATATCATGAGTGGCTATTGGGCTAAAGCTTTCTGCTGCGGTAAAAAGTCATTGGGAAGAGAAATGGTATCTTTTCCTTATCTCTGCCTGTGCATCAACTGACTGTAGTCCGTATATAGCTTAGGTGGAGTTCTGCCATAAACCAAGTGCTCTCGACAGATGACATAGTGCTAGCTGAGGAATTAAATACGCAGGCTGGAAGATGAAATTCAAAAGAGAAAATAGTGCATGAGTCGAAAAGATATTGATTAGAAAACAATACGCTTTTTCATGTTTAGGTTGCAAATGGAGGTAAATCGGTAAAGGGGATCATCTGTAGCTTTGTGAAGGTAACGTACCTCAAAGTAGCAAAATTTCTGGAACAATCATTGTCTTTGTGGCATCTAGTGTTGGCAAGTAAGCTTCAATGACTACACATTGTGTCAGTTAGTATTAACCCAGTTAGTTAAACAGAGGTCGCGATAACACTGAGATTTAACAGAGAACTATCGCAACGGAAGCTTATAACCAATGTCCCCTCACAGAACCAATCTAAGAGGCCTTTTACTTATCTATTACACACTAACCATATTCACTACACTCTGCTCATGACATTAGAATACGGAGACTTATTCACATGACGCAGTTTATGACCTAGCCGACCAACATGTCTGCCACGCAAAACTTTATTCTTGACCTCTATGTTACCGACGTAATAGACAATGCTACGAAGTTAAAGGTGATGAAACACATGAAGCCTCCTCATACAATCCATTTTTAATGGCTATGTTTCACAGTCATACAAGAGGTCAGAACAAACTGAAGAGAAATTCACTTGGCTTTCATTAGGTAAACTGATATGACAGCACCAGAGATGGTCCAAATCGCGAAAGGTTAGTTCTTCTTGAGTTACCTAAAAAAACGTCTAGGTAGCAATAGTGATGGGTGATCGCACAGAGCAAAGGAGGCTGATCACATACGGCATTTCTGGAAGTTGAGGCAACGAATCCAGCTACATACCATACCATCGGCTACTTTATGGACCGACTTATTCCAATCCTTACTTTCCATAGGGGGACGCAGTATCAGCGTGGTACTATTCGCTATCCACTGAGAACACCTTACCGCAGTCATACTTTCGTCCAGAAAAACGTAGTTTCAACGTTGCTCAAATAATGTCCTTCGGAATAAGTGACATGGATAGGCCAGCTACAAGGAAGTATTAATTTGCTAATACTTTTGTGATATTACTACTAGTTGGCAATAAGACTAGCCCCTTATACAGGGCGTAAAAAGATTTCTATGACAAAAAAGTGATCACTCAGGTTGATAAATAGCGGTAAATGGCGAATAAAGATCTTTCTGAACGGCTGCTATGAGGTAAAGAAAAAGGGTACTTACTTGATGAGGTGTTAGTCTATTGGCTTCTTTGTTATCTATTCTTGTCTGACGTGCACGTTCAACAGCTATATTTCTTAAAGCTTGTTTTATATAAGTCTGGAAAAACTGGCTTGTATTCGTCAGATATGAAGACAAATCTACATCTGGGTAGAGCTGGGTAAAATCATATAATTCATTCAACCCCTATATAAGGTAAAACAAACATCATTATCCTATTATGTGCTGCATAACAGAAATCATCATAACTTTGAATCTATTTCTCGAGAAGACTGAATGAAATGTAGAGCTGAATTAGAATGTGAGTCGCTGTCGCACACATAAATGATTAGTAGTAAGCTCTCGTATATAAAAAACTTGACTTGCTAGGATTGGTGCACTAGCCACTTTAATTGTTATACGTTTGATTTCATCGTCTCTGAATGTAATGAATACCGAAAATATTGGTAAATTATGTGCAGCTTTACAAAAACTCCCACCCTCTACGCCCTACTTAATACTTCCTGTGAGATATAGCTGGTTGAGTATGTCGAGGGAAAGTGAGCATCATTTCACATGCGCTGAATCAAAAATCAAGACTTGAATATAATCAGTAGCAGTCGTGTTTAACAATCAAATTCCTTTTCCTTTTAATTAACAATCACTCTAGACTTACCTAGCTATTCTGCACCAAGTTTTATTTTTCTTTATGGTATGGATCGATCAACATAACTATTCATATATTCAAAGTGAGCTGTTCTCTTAGCTGGGAATTTTTATTGGCTAACGTTTCACAGTCTATGCTAGACATCGTTGTCAGATTCACAACTCACCCAGGATTACAAACAACATCCAGATAAATTAGTTAAACTGACTAATTGAGCACTTTAGTATGTGTTCTATCCGGTCTTCTTCATTGCTCTTTAGTCACCATTGTAGGTAGTATATGAAGACCATAGTCAACGTTGTCGCTGCCGTTAACCGACAGTTTCATCTGTTTTGCATACAGAGCCGGAGGGTTCAAAAATAAAGATGAGAGAAATTTTAAAGTTAACGTGAACATTATGCTTCCTAACAACAACTTTATTTACATATATAATCCTAATGCAACATACACGGCATCAACAAAAGCAGCCAACATTGATTTCCATTTGTAGGGTTTATGTAATATGTACAGGAAATACTTACTTCTTCAGGTTCCTTAGATCCCACTTTTTTGAATATTTCCGCCAACTTCTCACGAGTTGCAGTAGAAAGTACAAATACCTACAATGATATCAGGAATTACACTAGGTAAAGGACTGATACTATCAATGTACAAGACCAAAATAAACAAATGTAGACATTCACGTTACCATTATCGACCAGTCGAAATCGCTAGATCTAAGGTGATATGACTCAGGATCGATTTCAGGGATGCACATGTCTACACACTGTTTTCAACTGCATTGTCATTTCATTTATCGCCATTATTTCATTCGCCTTTCCTCTTCTATGAATTTCCATTTCTTCTCTCCTTATTTCTCTATCTTCCCGACCGATAGCTGGTGCCTTAACATGGTTGTCGGGCTTGCATATCGCAATAACGCAACGAGCTATGTTGGTGGAAAACTTGTTTCCTCGATATCGGTTAGATAGTGGTGAGAAAAAAAAGCAGTTACCGTTATAGTGTGTTTTAACTTCATGTGCGGGTCCGAGGGCGAAGTCATACTGCTGGCTGGACGGGGGTATGACAACAGTAACATTTCCTGTGGATGACCAGCGGTGCCGTGTTAATGCTACTGTCTCTATAAGAAGCGGGGATTAGAAAAGGTTGACCCTAGAAATAGCACGCCCCCCTCTACCCTGTGGTACATCAGTGCCGGTTATATGGATTCATGGTCGGATTCACAAAACTAAACTACTAAGAAAGCTGTGTGTGACCAGCCTTAAGCAGATGTCTCTTGGGCTCTGCGGTCACGCATCAGTATTATTAATTTTTCTTTCTCAGGTACATCAAGAAGAAGTGGTCTTGCACGGTGTGAGCAGCTGGGAAGTTTTAATCACCCTCACAGCAGTCAGTACTCAAGTTTCCACTGTCCACCTTCCGCATCATTAACTTCTAAAATCCCTTCACTTCTATCGGTCAACAGTTGTACATCATCTTAAATTTTTTCCAGCTCAGGTATAGATGGAGAGTACTTTAGATTCTTTATTGTGTAAGAAAGATGTGAACCATGAACATAACTTACTTTCGATTGGCTTTCAGAGGTTGTTTTAACTCCTGAGGTAGTTTCCAATCTTCGGATTAGGTAGGACTCCAGTTCTGAATCTTCCTGTTAACAAGAGTGACAACGTTAAAAACTTGTCAGTACTTAGTGATTCGATAAAATCGAAATCTATCAGCGAAATATTTTATTTTAATGTTTGATATATTATAGTAAGCACGTGAATACTACTTCAATAAGTAACCGAATTGATGGATTATATTTTCAATTCATATGCTTTATAAGCTAATGAATTTCACCCCTGAGCTTCAAAATCTTTTCAATTTGACTAGGAATGTTCTTCAAAGTGCATATTCCAACGACCACTGTTAAGGAGACCTACTACTTTTATCACCTCCATACATATAGAGAGGGAAAAGTTTTCATTCAATTTTCTTAGTACATTTATAAATTCCGTACCGATAAGTTATGCACTACCAGTTAGAACAGTGCATCAATTGTCTATTTTTGAACTGAATTATGCGAAATAGTATATTATAGGATAATTATACCATCTTGAATTCATTTCAATTATATTGCTTATGAATTAATAAATGATACAAGGTCAATGAATAAAGAATGAGCAGTTTTTCTACTACTTGTATGCCTCTCTCCTTAGTGACAGATAGTCAGTCAACAAGAACATTATGACTGACTAGCAGTCCGTAGTGTCACTTTGCTTACTAACCAGATCATAAACTTAGCAGCTAGGCATCAATCAAGGCATCGACAGCTACATAGGTTAATAAATCATGAAATCACTTAGGTATCTATCTACCTTTCGGATTGTAAGCAGCTGAGGAGAATCAGTGAAATGAGTTATTTTGTATCATCCTGCCTCAACTGCTAGTCTTACTCTCTTGAAAAACGGAATTCATGAACACTTGGATAAATTATAGCATGACACTTGACTGAATGCAGGTTTCAGTGTATTATGTCGCTTACTGAAGAAACTATCTCGATAATAAAAGTACATTTGCTCCATGAGATGAATACATTTTTATTTACTTCAGGAAAAAATAAAGGCACCTATGAATAAAGGACAATTAATTTACCAGGCAGATGTATACGAAATCCTCTACAGTAATTAAATCCCACATCGTTTTCATGTTGACTGTCATAAAGACACACTTCGTAGATTGATTTACATACAAATCAAGCATGAGGACAAATTCTGCTTGAGCACATATGCTGATGCTTTATTCCACTGACGATATTTAATAACATATATAACCTATTTCGTTGGATTCTACAATTTTTCCGGTAGCAAATGAACTCAACAAACTCTCTCAGAAGGATTTCTTTCCGCAAGGCAACTTAATCAACTAAAATGTAGTGCTACTTTTATTACTGTGTCAAAAGTCACTGAAGCAATACAGAATTTCACTGGAATTTATAGGAAGGACTATACAACTGTATGTTTAGTATTTATATACATTCGAAATGAAATTTGTTCTGAAAGTTTTCAGTAGACAGTTAAATTTTACATCTGAAAAACAAACAAACACAGTCATCCTAAGAAGCCTACCTTATTCGGTATGCATTCTAAAAACTGTAAAATTGATGGACCATGGAGGCAACATAAAACATGCAACAACGTCTTGATCGTTCGCAACGGTACATCTGATTTTCGTGAACTCCATGAAGAAGGTGGAAATGCCTTCAAAAAATGATGACAATCCAGAAGTATAACATCCACAGCATAGTTATTAACTGATATAAAAAAGAAAAGTATCAAAATCGAAGAGTTATTCATCTGATTCATAATTCTCGGAATAAAAAACAAAAATGAAATGCCCAAGCTTACAAATTATGCATTCAGTAAAGTGAATCACATAAGATAAGTTGAACCAATCCTAGTGAAATGAAATCCAAGGAGGTTTTACCCTCTCTCAAGTGAGTTTGGAATATATTTAGATGATATATCTTAGCTTCTACTAGTGCCTATACTTTTGACTTAGAAGTTTTTCATGACCACTGATTATACTGCTAAAGTGAGATCTGACAAACTGAACCCCTACACAATCACACCATAGACTATGCGCTGTGAACATGATTTTCTTTGATAATGAAGTTATCTACACGAACAAATGCATAAGGTGAGCAGCCAGACACGATTTAAACGAAATATGTAATAGTACTTTCAATGAAAATAACTTCATAAATTTGCACACAATATTGGTGTCATCTTCTCCATAACTAAGTACACAACATCAAAGAAGTGATGATTTTTACTGAGAAAGTGGAAAGACACAAATCTTTTCGTACTGAAAAACTTGCTTATCTACAATTCATTATACCCAACCACCACATCTTATAAGTTATTTTTGTAACCATAGTGTAATGCTACTACTTCAAAAACAGTAGGAAAAAACAGAACAAGTCAACAAGAAATAACAAATCCATACATTGGATTCCGATGCAGTGGCTCAGTGGTAACGTGCTGGCCACGGAACATACAGGTCCTTGGGTTCGATCGCTGGCAGCGTCATGGGTGCGCACTGCTGAGGAGTCCTATATTAGGACGAAGCAGCTGTCAAGTGCTCCCAGGTTTTCAATGTTCCTCCGACTGATATAAGTCTATGATGAATTTCGACTTAGAATCAATTATAGTAAGCATTCGGAAAACAACAGTAGTCTTATACAACGCTGTCATAATGAATTAATCAACCCGTAAAAAGATTTTTGAAATACAAACAAAAAACAAGAATTGATATTCATTATAATAACATTTACTTTGTCAACTTACATGCGTTATTCATGCCTTTAGTGATACGCCATATACTCTTGAGAATACATTGTGTAAATCGATTTGTAAGGTGTCCACTACTGACACATTCATGCAACAATCGGATGAGAGCACTAAATATATAACAAAAACATTATCGCTTTCACAGTGAAATATGTGTCAGTTCGATTAGATAATCAATATAAACTATATGTCAAACAAAACGGCGGGAAAATACAACCCATCCATTGCACTAACTTCATAATTAAGCCTTTGGACAAGCAATCATTAATATTGTGAAGGTGATTAACGATTAATAACACTATACTTTTATTTTCACAGCATAAAAACTCAATGGAAAGGAAGACAGTGAGAACAGTGTTTATAACACATGCTTAAAAGAACAACTATACTTGGATCGGTATTCGCCTGAAAACATTACATTCACGTTAACTACAACAAGAGACAGTGGAATATTGGATATTATGTGAGGATAGTGAATGCGGAACAATATTATTCCAGGATTTTAATTCGCTTATGATCCCAAGTGTAAACGTGATCAAATTCGTACACATCATTGATAAATCATTGGTTACATAACTTTTACTATCGACCTTAGCTCAAGTAGAAGGTAAAACTAGTGCCTTTTACTTCTGATTAGCGACTGGTGTCAAGATGCATTTCTCAAAGCTTGTGATCTGAGGGTAAACCAACATCGGATTATGGTCACATTAAATCGAGGAACGAAAAAAGTTGAAAAACATGAATCAATACAGTTCAGTTGAAAAGTGGTTAAGTGCTTGCTCGGTAGTTGACGATGTTTAGCTTGAGGTTATGGATTCATACAGTTCAGAAACACTAAACCAATCGTGCAGGATTTTCCTAAACTGACTGTGATAGCCGATAGTTGGTAGAACCCACTTTGAACCGCTTATTTCTACCGCCTTAGCGATGATATTTTCCTATTACCCGGGATTGGTGTTTTCTACACTTCATAAGATTGTGGCTACCAGTTTGTACTGACACATCATCATCCAGTGAACAGTACTGTACCAATGGTTGAAATATAACTAATCTGATATGGAACTATGCTCTACAATGCTTTACTCACACCAACAAGCTGTTCGAATTTCCCGTTTTGATAGCCCTCTAAGTGCATTCCAAGGACTATATTGCATAACTATTCTTCCGTTGTAGTAAATCACCTTAATCAAAAGCACTGTCGCCTATTTACTATTAGTTCTATGCAGTTGAGGACGACGTTACTATCCATACATCCTAAAGAGTGGATATGTAATTGATAATTTTGTTTTACTGTTAGTTACAAAACTGAAGTAATGCAGTTGTTCACTGAACACAGACTTTCTAACTGATGACAATTCATGGTAGAACTGTTCTTAAAATAATTGGGTGCTCGCTGGGAGAATATATGTGAGAAGCACAATTATAAGATATCTGGTGAGATTACCAATCCGAAACAAACAACGTACCTGAGTATACGTGTTCCGTTGGCAATCTCAAGTATACGAAGAAAAAGTGCGTTGATTGATCTGATTATTTTGTCACCAGTAGTCATTTCAGCTGTTCTTTCATCTAACATCATTTGGAGAAGAGACTGAATTAATTCTCTTAACGTTTCGCGTGAAACTTCACGACCTAACGTCGGCTGACTGAAAAGCTAAATACAAAGATAAACATTACTTTTCAGTTACTATGAAGCACACTTAGACTGATTTATGCTAAATTAATTTGTGAATAATACTTTGATATAATGTATTAAAACGTCTATGTTGACATGGAATAGAATGAATTCCATGAAGTGGAAAAGAGTACTGTAAAATCAAGCATAACATGGTTCATAACTTTTAAGATGATGCAATTCAGTTGCTATTAAAAATATGAAATACTAGAAGGAATAATGAACTTCGCCGCAGGCTTGGCTTAAGGGCTGATTAACGGATACCATATTAAAGGAATTCAGTGAGGAAATGGGTAGGTGAATACACACAAAGAATGCATGAAATAAAAGAGAATAAATAACGGTTAGCGAAATTCGCTGGTTCGAATCCGGCTGAGGTCCAACTTTTCACTTTACCTTCAATCATCACTCAGTATAAATACTACTCTGCCAAACTATGGCTATCTAAGATGGTCAAATGATAATCAATATGATGCTCCCACTCATCTCTACTTCAGTTACATTTGGATCAGGATGAGAAGTCCTGACTAGGCAGTCAGTGTCAGTACGACCAAGCGATAGTAACGCATCACGAATTCACATGGCAGTTAGGCAAAACTCTTGGTGATTGGACTGAAAATAAAATCTGGTCAGCAGTCGGACCTTTTAGCTCAGTTGGTAAAGCATTGGTTTGGAAACTCGATCTCTGGTTCGAATTTTCATTTCACCTTCAATCATTACCCAGTATGTTAGTATTGAAGAAACTCACAGTAGAGGATTTGCAGACTTATTTATGCAGTATTTGTATTTCTCGTCAGTTCTAAAGGTGCATACACAAATGATAACTAACTGTTTTATACTCGTATCTTACGTTGTTCAGTGTAAAAGTTCAGCAAATAATTTTGTCAAATAAAGACAAAAAAATGAATCTAAAATCGTTTAGCCGACAAACCAAAATACGACAAAGTTATTCAAAAGCAAATAACGACGACTAGCAGCAAAAAATAGGCCGGACAACATATCCTTACTCTTACAAGAAGTATTTTAAATGCAAGAAAAGACAGTAGGCAGGCTTCATTAGAGGGTCAATAATTCTGAACGTAGTAACTTTACCGGAAGAGTGAATAATGCCAACAGTTAACGAGATCAAATTTTATTATTATATAGAATCCTATACTGAAGTTCACAGATAGCTTTAATATGAAAGAGATGAGAATAATAACAACTCACAGAATCAATAGTGGCTAGATGACATTGTATCACTATGCATAATTGATCTTCGGTGATTGAAGGATCATCAAAATATCTTGAAGTAACTTGGCGTAATTGCATTGTGATAAGCATTAAAATTTGATTGACATGATTCATTAAAAGATACCATTTTTCATCTACATTTTAAAAAGTGAAAGAGAAAAAAAAATTACACTTCAGTTATGAAAAGGATAGGTTACTTTAATAAATTAAAATCCACTATTCAGCAACTGTGTGCACCTCGACATGCAGTAAGCAGGGAATGAGCCACAGCTACTCATTAAACTAAACAACGATACCGAGGTCAAGCATAATTTAAGTTGAGATGAACTCCATATATATTTATCAATTATATTAAGGCGTGTTTATTAAAACAATAGGTTAATAATTGGTTTCAAAAGGAAAGTGTATAGGAAAATCAGACAGCAGGTAAATAACGCTAAAACCGATGGTAATGCAAAAGTGATCAGAAACTCACCTTTTAGGACTGTATCGATTTCGGCAAGAGCATGACAACTAACCACTAAATTGTTAGAAGATATAGCTGTTACTACCATTGTGATAGCTGAGGCTGTATCAGGACTTGTCCGTAGCAATGCGTTCAAAACAGGTTGGCGTACATTTGTTCTAAAATTAATGTAACCGTATAATCACAGGTATTCAATGGAAGAAGACTGGTGCACATCTGGTTACTTACCGACAATGATAGTCATCAAAATGGACACTTACTTTACTACAGGCATTTCAATAGGTTGAAAGAGATCACTAATCTGATCATCTAATTGGATAAGGGGAGGCATACTAGGAGCTTTTTCAGGAGATAAATCACCTAGTTCATTCAGCATAGCACGAGCTCTAGCATAAGCCGCGGAAACAGGTTGCTGACGACGATATTCATTAGGAACAGGTTCTGGAAGACGACGCGATTCAGAAGGTTCCCTTAAAATTGAAATGAAACAAATACACACATTAAAGCGAAAAGTAAGTAACAAGAAAAAAGCTTCAGAAAAATGCAAACAACACGAAAGGTTACGCAACAGAAATACGAGAGGAAAAAGGTTTGTAAAAGTTGCTTCCTTTGTACAAAAATAATGATGAAAAGTAAGACGAAATTAGGATTTACTTTATGATGTCTAGATCAAAAAGTAAAAAGAGAAGTAGGATATCTAGGAAAAATTCGTGCATTGTGAAGAGAATCAATTTGTTATGAATATATTCATTACAAATGTATTTAAAAAATAAAGAGAAATAACATTAGTGAAATAAAACATACCGTCTCGCATTATTTGGTCTTGCAACGGGAACCTTTGGTTCAAAGTTATCAGTAGTAGCTGAGATATGGCCAACCCGTTTAATACGTTCCTCCAACATTGAACGATCTTTCTCAGGTATCTAGAACAAAATATCATTAGCAAAAAATCTGCTATCGTATGTAAACATTTTATAAACAGTTATTCATATGCCTGATATACTTATATAAGGTTTTCTTTTACAGTATTGATGGTAATGAGTTTCAGTCATGATACCCACTGTGGTTCAACATCTGTAGTTATGAAGAATACAGCCAAAAATTCAAGTGATTTATAACAACAAGCAGTGAACTCTAAATTCACTGTAATAATGTAGACTAACCCCATACGGAATTTTCAGCCTCATTTTACACAGCTGAAGTAAATGTTGACTGTACATAAAGAGTGTGTTTTTCACAATACTAACTGATTTTTCGATTCTATTCAAACGTCTATGAATACTTTTCATGTCACTGACTTAGATGTCATACTATAAGAAAGTAATTCTTTGATGGGTCACTAGTATTTTCCAACTTGCAATCATTTCACGCCATTTACGTTTAAGATATTCATAGGTGACAGCATTTCAATAAAATGAGGGTATCTTCATCCTGTACGCTTCTCGCATTGACGGTAAACAAATTTCCCATAAACAGCCCAACTAGATCTTTCCTATCATTCATATAGTTTTATTGCTTATCAATACAGCAAAACTGATGTAACTCTTCATGTAAGCAAGATAAACAACAAGCTCAACAATCTTAATGAATGGAGTTGATTGATGTAGGAGTAACCGGTAGCGAAATCTTTGATATTTATCAGAAAGAAGAGACATTCTTGTCATTTCAAAGGTTGACGATCATAAAACAAAACGTTGTTGGTGTCTTAGTTTTGGAGTGTAATGCTGTGCGCTTCCAATCAGTTTGAAGTTCGACTGATGGAAAACCGGTGCATATATTGTCGAAGAAAAGACTTTTATGTGATAATACGAATTGAAGAAGAGATTGGGATATGATGTAAATATTTAGCGTCTCTTCTTATCATAGGCGCTGCTAAAAAGGCTTTGAATCAATATCAGATATTGTGGTTAGTATGGGATAGAGATCAATACGTCTTATTAGCATAGTACAGAAGTGTAGCCAGCAAACCCTTCAACAGGTGAAAAACCAGTGTAGTATTTTTGGCATTGAAGTTTTGGAGCATCGATAAGGTATTGTATAGACAATTTATCAGCGGGACAGATGAGGGAATAGTTTTTTACCTTGCGAACTGCAATCACAATTATCCGATCGCAGTGTGCTGCAACAAAACCCACATTTTTACGTAGAATAACACTTCAACAAGTCTAAAGGTTATTATTAGAGGAAAATATTCATGTTGTCGTCAGGTCAACAATGAAGTCAACAAGAGAAGGTGAAATGCAAGTTAGTGTAGCTTCATGCAGTAGCTAATGGACAACCCCTTTTGTGTGGAACCAACGATAACACCTGACTGTTATAACACATCGGGGGGTCGAATGGAAATCGAACTCCCGATCCACTAGTCGAATACCTAAATCGATCAATCACCGTTAAGTGGAGAATCAATAGCAAGAAAATAAAACTGAAACCTACTATAGTATCGAATTGATCTTCTCGACTGATTCGCCACCACCTTTTCAGGCCAGTCCTGGAGTATTACCGTACTTTTGACAGGTGCGAAACGTATACCAAATGTACTCAGATTTCTACTTAACGAGTCTAAAAGACCCAATCTGCATTTTGTCAGCGTCTTCATCTAGCAGGAAAAAACTATCTGCGTACTCCCAGCCAATCAGATGACCTCCCTGTGAAGTCAGAAGTCCAGTCACATATCCATGACGAAGTTGAACAGAAATTGTGACAGTGTACATCGCTGGCGGACACCACTAGTTGTCATCAATTCTGATGAGAACTTTTCGTAAGTTCTGATACAGCTGTGTGAGTTTGAGTAGCGTTTTATACTTGCTCAGTACTCCCCTTACAGTCAAACTGCCATAATATCTCACGATCAACAGAGTCAAATGCCATATTAGGTTTGTTTATTTGGTTTATAACACACAGTGATCTAGTATTATTTCATTGATGACGTTTCGAGCATAAATTATTGCTCAAAATCATATCAATGTAATCACACTACTTTCGACATTTAATTTTCACAGTTGTCACCTTATATGAGTTGTTTTTATTGGTAGGGAGATTTTCCATATCACTGGTATAGGTGTTGCGTCATTTCTACCATATGTTGATTCGATGAACAAAGATTCAGTAGTCAATCTCTTTCTCTATCTCTCCACCTAATTATATTGGACCTAAGTACAGTGGCTTTATCCCACCCAATTGTGTGGTTGTATGTTAATGCATGCATAGCAATACCCGAGTTTTTTTTTCTAGATTATTGATCTTATTCGGGTCTGTCGTTCTATATTTGGCTAAATTCCTATGTTCGGCTATTCTAACTGACCCCGACCGACTAGTTTGACCTATATACTTGACCTCACAGTCATTACATGGAATTTGATGGATATTATCTGGCTTAACTGTTTCTATCGGATCCTTAAGCCAACAAAGTTTATCTCTGAGTGAGTTTGTACGTTTAAATGCCACCCTAATTCCGGCTCTGTTGAGGATTCTACGTAAAGTTTCTGAGGTACCCTCCTTGTAGGGTAACACATAATAAGGTGACATAACTATGAAGATCAAATGTCGAAAGTAGTGTGAATCACATTGATATGATTTTGAGCAATAATTTATGCTCAAAACGTCATCAAGTAAATAATACTAGATCGCTGTACGTTAGAAATCGAGTAAACAAATCTAATATGGAATTAAAGTCTACCACAGTGCCCAAGTTTTACACCTATATAAAAGTCAAATGCCGCCTTCAGGTAAACAAATATGACGAATGTTGAACACCCACCTGTAAGTATGCTTGTGTTCTACAAACTGTCGGAGGGTGAATGTCTGGTTGATGAACTGTAGTTCAGATCTAAAACCTGTTTGGTTTGTTTGTTTGCCGTTTTCGAGCTCTCCTTAGGCGTCGGATAACTATGGAACCTGGGATCTTGGACATAATAATCGAAATAATTCCCTGTAATCGTCACAGGAAGACTTATGTCCCTTCCTTTAAACTGGGATGATCAGAGAGGTAGACCAATCTGATGGCATTAACTCTGATTCCCATACACTAAGTAGTAACTTTTTTTATATAATGAGAAACACATTGTGATAAAACAGTCCAAATGATAGAAGCAAAAGGTAAACCCAACCAGTAACCAGATAGTTGGTTTCATAAAATACGTTTAAAAAAGCGGCTTGATATCATTTTGAAAAACAGTGAACATGGAAAAATTGCAACATGATCGTCGAAGATGTCAATTTTAGACAATATCTGATATCACCTCAAGTCAACAACTTGTATAGTTTCGATTCAACAATCGGTGATAACCTCACATAACTGTAGCGATACAGTATTTGGAGTGTAAAAAAGTTTTAATGTTACGTAAGGAACGAGTATAATTCTAACAACTATCTACAAGCATTTCTAAATCATAATTTTTTATGCTATACCAATTGTGTATATGGTTAAGCCGATAATTTATACGACATTATATTATTGCAAGTCAGTTTAAGATAACGCAAAAAACAACCACGATATCTTACATCGCCGATTATTTTCCATATCTGCTCACCAATAATGGCATAGGCGGACAGTAATGCATTCAAAGCAGCTGATCGAACTCCGCTGTCACGATCACCTATTTGTTGTGCTATTAGTTTTAAAGCTACAGGAACAGTGGGTTGACAAACGTTCAATCCAAACCGATCAATTAGTGATCCCATTTCATCTAAGCATTCTACAAAACACAAAGAAATTCACATTACAGAAACAGTCACAACAAGTATAAATTAAACACAATGCTATTAGCATTACCAACCTGTGATACAAATAAGTAATAACAACCGCCTACCTTGTCTTGTTTTGTTTGTCTTTGCTTTAATTCCATTCGTGAGGAAAGTGAATAAACGACTAGGTGGATAGAGGTTAACCACAAGCTTCATTATTGCACGAATATTTTGTCGAATGACGTCTTTCGCATCACCCACTTTCATTACCAAATAAGGAAGAAATGAACCACCCTCAAGTTCAGAAAGATTTGCTCCATATTCCGACATATGAACAAATAACTTTGTTAGATAATCCATACCTACAGCATTTATTCACAAACAATACTGTTATTAAATCACATTTGTGTACATGCATCGCTTTAGATAATACAATAAAAAAAAATTTTGAATAATGATGATGAACCTCTCAATGTACGACAAAAAATTTCCCAAAATCGGTTTAGTATAAGTGACTCGTCAAAATAATTTCTTTACAACTAAATTTTTTATGACTTAGTCCAGTGTATTTGTTTTCGCTCTGGACATAAATTTACATGCAAAAACGGGTACAAATTGTCATCAAATGATCCATATTCCTCGGGATATATGTTGATGACATTATTATTATTTGTCCCTTGAGTTCCTAATGAGACTTAGAACTTCAGTAACTCGCCTCCATTGCACTCTCTTCTCAGCAGTCTTTTGAACATGGCGCTACGACTGCCCACAAGCTTTCATTTCTTCCACACACGATCTCCTCCATGTCACCCTCAGCTAGGATGCCCAACTCGTCGTTTCCCATCTACGTTCCAATCGAGGGCCTGGTGCGTGATGTCCCCAATCGGCATTCTCAGTGTATGCCCAATCCATCTCCACTTTCTTCTGTATATTTCTTGGGCGATGGGGTTCTTGGTTGGTTCGTTGCCAGCCAGCCAGCCGGCCAGAGTGAGTTCCTTGATGCTTATTCTTTCTGGACATCTGATCTTCAGCAACGAGCGTAGGCAGCTGTTGATGAATGTCTGTAGTTTGTTAGAAATGCTTTTCGAAACGCGCCGCCAAGTCTCTCAACCATCACGTAGAAGCACTGACTTGACTGACATTAGTAGTGTTGAAAATCCGGGTCTTGTTCACGCTTTATGCTGAGTGTAGTGCGGTAGATATCCACACTGATTTCAGATCAATGAAGGCAGGCCTGTCTTGCTGTCTTTCCGATCCTGTCTTTGACGTCCTCATCTGTGCTACCACTGCTGCTTGTAGTTGAAACCATGCTGCCTAGGTAGGGGAAAAAGACTAATTCCTATGGGTTTCTCCCGTTCATGGTGATTGATGCTTGTGGTTCTTGTTGTCGGTTGGGTATCTTCATCAACTTTGTCTTCTCTACGTTCACCTGGAGTCCCATCTTCGCTGCCTCACCTCACCTCTTCTGTCAACTTGTTGGTTTCTGCCTGCAGATCTTCACGTTTGTGCGACATAAACCATCATCGGTAAAATCCAAATCTTCAAAGGTATTTTCATTGGTCCAGTCAGCGTATCCCCATCTTCTCGCTCTTCACTGTTTGCTGCATGATCCAGTCCAATCGACCACAATCAGGAAGATCACCGGTGACAGTAGACGGCAGCCTTGTCTTACTCTTGTCTTCACTTCAAAGGCGTCACTGGGCTTTCCATTGTGAATCACTTAGCATGTGACGTCGTCATATAGATGTTGAATGAGGTTGGTAACGGTTTGTGTCACTGAAATCGTAGAGATGAAGCAGCTGCCTGCCAAACTACTTGTCGGTCGATACTGTCGAAGGCCTTTTCAAAGTCGATAAAGTTGAGGTAGAGTTGAATTGACTGCTATTCTATACTCTGTTCTATGATGATGCGTCACGTAACGTTCCATTTCGATCCGCACATGATTTATTCTTCCCGAATTCAGCCTGTTGTGGTTGTAATTTTGAATCCAGTGCATCCTTTAGTCCCTCCAGGATGATGCGGCTTAATATTTCGCTTGGGGTGAACAGGAGCGTGATTCTTGATGACAGCTGTCATGTATTAATCAAAATTCACTCAGCGACCTAGTGTTCACTTGCGCTGTAGTAAGCAATGAGCGACACCTGTTGTTCGAGGGATACTGACACTACCTACTTTCCCCAAAATTTGACAGATGAACCGGGGTCCAACCCCCCTTCCCCCCCGAATCACCTATATAAACCATCCAATGACAAATGCTTGTTGGAAGAACAAGACCATAGCTCAATAAAGGTAAAATACGATCAATCGAAAGTTTAATCCTACAACATTTAGTCGAAGGCGAACAAAGAATTTCAGAATATTCATTTCATGTAATAAATAGAAACCTTCAAAACGTTTAAGTTAACGTCGATTATCCACTGCTGAAGTTTTAGCAATATTAAAATGAAAGTAAGAATTTCATGTTGGAAGACAAGCTTCCCATTCACTGTCTAGCACTGTCAATCCTTAAGCCTAACTGAATTCTCGTGTTTTCCGTGTTCTGAGTTATTGACAGACAAATATTCATGCGTTTTATTATTAAATACGCTCACTAGTTAGTCATTTTATTGTGCCAGCACAAATTCTGAAAATGATATCACCAAAAAGGAATTTTTTTTGTCTGAAATTCCAATTGCTAGTTGTCCAAAGTTGGGAATATTTACTAAGCTAAACTTGCAAGAAATTACAGTTATATAATCTCATTCATATTTTGTGTATCCTCATGAATGTGATTCTTTTTCTAGCCTTAGTAATGACTATTTTTCGGTTTCTTTTTCACATACTGTTTATTCCTAATGATGAAATAATATGTCAATGATGAAGAGTACGTTTGCTCTTGTAATACTAACAAACTAACCAATTGGGATGAAACATACGAAGTAATAATAAGTCAGAAGAAATTGAGTCAGACCCAAGTGAAATAAAAAACTAGTATGCGATAGTGAGCTGAATATCTAATTGAACAATACAAAGCCTAACATCTTGAGTAAGAATGTTCCACCTTTACATATTCAACATCCTAATATTCTTATAGTCAACCAGTTCCTATTCAATAATAAGTTTGTTGATAACATGTTAAGATTGTCTAAATTCGTCAACTCCTGGTAAAGGGGAAAGATGAATACTATTGCAGTAATTCAGATCTTGGTCACATGCAACAATGAATATGTTCAACAATACAAACAACATAACACAGGTAAAACTGAACAAAGTTTAAGTGAAGTAAAAATCACTTGATAACGTACATCTTCCTAAAACAACTGGATTCGTTTCAAAGAACCGAAGAACAATCCATTTCAAAATAATATCCACGTTTATCAAAGTAGCTTCACCGCCTTCAGGGGTATCTAGTAGTTGAGAAAGTTGATCTATCGCTTTGATATGTTGTCTAAAGTCTGAATGAAACAAAAGAGCGTGGAATTCTGGAGAAGCACCTGATGTAATGAACAGAGTATTCAACTGTTGAATATGGTCTTTTGTCGGGGCATCAAAGTCCCATTTCAGAAGCTACAGATTAGAAATAACCGAAAAGGCAACTAAGATTTAGAAGGAAAAACTACTGGGGAAAAATAAATACAAAAAATAACAATGAAGAGAATTCAGAAACTATGTATGTCAGATAATCAATGTAGAACCTCCCACACAAATAGATCGGTTCAATTCAAAACATTTAAAAGTAGTTTACAAAGAAAAAAGTGGAAGGAAAATGAGTGATATCAAAGTAAACAAAATTGTGTGAGATAATAAACAATTTGAAGACAAAAGTTTGTGCGATTTTCAACGATGCCATCAAAAGTCCTCTACTCCTCATTCCTTTCGTCTTGCGAACCCCAGCTAGACAGTCTACATCCCCAAACACGGCTCAGATCAACAGTATGAGAATTCATAGACTAGTGGCACGTCTTGGTCTTACCACCCTGAACTCTCTTTCAACCTAATCCAACTTCCTTTGGCATGACAAGTCGAGATAGACGGTGGTTAGGCATACGCAACACATGTTCAAACCACTTCAGTCTATGAAGGTTCCCAACCTCATCAATCAACTTGTTTTACTTGCCTAGTGCCCATCACCTAGCACGGATATTGCAACATAGTGATTTGAGCACACACGAGACTTAAGTGGAAGTAAACTATTGGTCAACTAATTGCTTACTGCGTGTAGAGATGAGCTTTAGCAGTAAAGAAATTGTTGTACTGACTTCAAGAGGTAGTTGAAACATATGCCGAGAATCACACTGAAGCACATACACGCATCATTTAGTTGTTTTTACTTTGGATACATGTATTTAACGTCCAATTTCTAAGACCATTAAGACTAATCGACGACCGATAAATCAACCTAAGATTGTAAGCCTACAACAATACATTCAATATTTGAATGCAGAACAACTTACTACACTACCACCAATCAATCATTTACATCACTGAATAAGTATTCAGAAAAAATCCATTCACAGAATGGTTGTTATGCCAACAAGCTATAATTGAACCACTACATGCAATTTTCATGCAACCATTTCCACATTCAGCTTTTGTGAATAGCAGTTTCTAAGAGATATTTGAGGTAACAATACCAAACAAGTGATGCAGCTAATGTAACATCACTTCCATCCATTAACAGAAACGACTTCATTGTATTCCCCCCAAGAAATGAATAGCTGCCTGAAAAACAGACAATAAATATAATACGGAGACACGACAGAGGCGAAAAGAACATAAGACTTGAAGGAACCGCCTACTTATTCGTGTACTGAAAAACAAAAAGAAAGAAATAAAAGCCATGACGATGTCACAAACAATGTGCTAGATATAGATGTGATAAGAACGCAACTTTAGACTACTGTTGTCAGTCAATCGTCGGATTCACAACCCAAACGTCCCAACAAATAGTTCCGAAGTTCAAAGATACACTATCTCAGAAATCCATATTTTGATTCCCAGTTCAGAGGCAACAGTCACTTCCTGATTTCATCACTCTTAGCTTTTCACATTTAATCTTACTTCAGCCAACTCTGAAAGTTGGTGTGAGCAGTGGCGACCGTAATCCCTAATCGCCTTAAATGATGAAGGTTCACAACCTCAAGTGAAATTACACTCGGAAAATAAGAACATATGGTTGAAGAGTCACACAATAGTCACCTTGCGTTTTTTTTCATCAGCTACTCGGGCTGTTTTAGCAGCTTTGTTTGGTGGCAAAATGACAGATGCTGTCGGTTGTTCAATACTTGATTTTCTATTTGCACTGGTAGGTTTTTTCTTATCAATTTTCTTCTTTGCCTCAGAACTTGGTTTGGTAGTAGTGTTTGAAGACTGTGTCGTAGTTTCAGACTCCTCACCATTTTCTGAAATTTAATGTTTGAAAATACAAAATTGTTAGAAAAACTGAACTCATACTATAACAAATTATGAACTACATATATCATCTTGAAACAATAGGCTTAAAAACTTCACCGAAACGAAACACGAAGGAAATCTCTATTTCAAACCACATGGGATATCATTGATAGCTAACAGGAACGACATTGTGAAAATAAGACATTTTGTCAGACAATCAGGGCATCAACAAGGATTTTCTTTCTCTGTTATACAGAAACATCACTAATAACCAAGTACTTGATAAAAGACATGAAGATTTAAATTCAACAAGACGTGAGGGAAGAATGAATACCATTTGTTTTTGTATGTCCACGGTGAAACAGGATAATATCATTGAATATACTGTCCATCTTCAGTACAACTACTTGGTTGACAGTCGAGCTCTATTAACTAGTTTCTTATCCAGTATGCTACACACTCGAAACTTCCGACATTATTAACTGAGGTAATAGGAATAAATTGCCTACAATACGAAGTACAATTTTACTACTACAATGAAACATTGCATCAACATTTACGTGATGAGAAAACAATCCGGATAAAAAGACTTATTTAACCTAATAATATTTGAGAAATACGAATGGCTTTACTTGTCATACAAAACTGTAGAGTTTTTCTATCCTCTGACTCATTATTCTCACAAACAATAAGAATATTTAAATAGAATCTATTCAATTACAAGAGAAAGTAACCTTGAAGGTACTTCACATGTGACCAGATGTTCACAACTAGAATGATTACAAACCCACATAATTCACTAAAAATAATACACAAAACGTGATTCATTTTGTACCCCAAATATTATTAACTGTAGCGAATGTAGCCGCAAAAGTGAGAGCTTAAGAGAGTACGATGACACGCAAACGATAAACCTATTACTGAATTACTAAGTATTCTAAAATAGATTAGTATGCGACAATTGAAACCACAGCAATGTGAAATATGTTAAATACCTGATGGAGTAACAGCTGAGGTGTTTGAAGATGTATGAGCACGTGCAGCAGCAGTCGCAGCACTGCCACCGCCACCACGTACTACCTTAGGCGCAGATGCATTTTTCTTCTCGGATACATCAGGATGTGATGCAGCTACACTTTCACGGGCTTTTTCTAAATGTGGCATGACTGTGTCTTTTGATGTGGGTTTAAGACGATTGGCACATTTTACAATGGGTTCCCAGCCAAAAACTTGTATCAAACAGGGGAGAACAAGTTGAGCTTGTTTACGAGCATCTGCATTGCGATCTTCAACTGCAGCGAACACCTGAGGCATTAAATTATCAGTTATCTCTGCTGCATTTTTACGCAATGCGTTTAGCGGCATGGGTGACAGTGCATTCTGCAACCAGCGAAGCAATTCTGTTCGTAAAAAAGGATTTTCCATCTGTATATGCAAAAAATAGAGAGGAAGGAAGGAAAATTTATTCAGAAAAATCACAAAGCGAACGTGTATTGTTCATGAAGTCTATGTTTGTTGTCTGGATAAAAATGTATCTAACAATCTGTTGGGTGAACAGAAAGCGAATCTTGTCATGTGATACGTGTCCACCAAGCTATACAGAAACTACCGAAATTCTATTTATGGTCTACTTCAGTCTAAGTAGTCAAATAGCAACGTAAGCTCAAACACAATATATGTGGCTCATATTCTAGAAAACTAACCTGTAGTGAGTTTGGTTTCTCTGAAAACTGATTTGGTAAACAAAGCATGAACAAAAAGACTTACTTTCAAAGCGTCAGCTAACATATCGTTTTCAAATATTGACAGAATGGGGACCCGAGCTTGCCAAGAGCTAAATGCGGTTACAGCTGCTTCGCGTATTTGAACTTTGGAATCACCAAGGCATAGTAGTAAAGGTGGTTCAATATACCTTGTAAAAAAGTCGATCGAAAATAGGAAATGCGTTGTCATAAATATAACAATTTAAGAGCATTAATGCAAATATTCAAAAGATGTGAAGAAGGAATATGGTAGACCGCAATTATCAATAAAGAACCTGGCACTGCAATGGTCCAACTTGTCATACAACAAATATCATATACAGGTGGAAGATATAATAAGAGTGTGATATTATCAGAAGCCATAAGACAAAGACAAGCGAAGATAAAGAGAGTAACGATACGTAACATTACACTCGGAATTAAGTAAAGACATGAAAATCTAGCATCACAATTTTACTGCCTCCTATGCTCATGCTCATGTGAGTAAAAGTGTTCCCCACACCAAATGGAAGATAAATATGATGTTTGTAAATGAGTCCTATTGACAACCATTAAACTTTTAAAGTACGACTTCCATAAACTCTCATCCTCAAGAAAAATCCACCTGAGAATTCAACAATCTCAATCAAACTATTGTAGAGATATAACCATCAACAATTTATTCTTTGTAAAAATACTATTCTCGTTCTTTTTTTTTAAATAAGTGCCCATTCTTGAATACTGGAGATGTTACTCGATGGAAAACGTCTTTAACTGCCTCTAATGAAACTTGCCTAGTCAAAGCAATATTTGTAGAAACAGGCAGGTGACTGCGAACAAGCAACCTCATAAAAGAGGAAATGGTTAGTGATATGAGGTAAGTCGGAGTTTCTGTAATTCAATTATTTAAGCTAACCATTCAGAAAAACATATGCGATAAGATATAACATTATAAACTATGGTGTTGTTTTATACAGGATATAATTATAACAATGAGTAAACACTACACAAGATTTATATTTGGTAGCAGACAGACTGAGTAGTCAGTTATTCCGAAGCAAAGGGTTAAATTAAAGACATCTGAATTGCATGTGCAGTGGAAAAAAAGAAGGTTCATATCACATTCATGTGTGTAAAATCTCATAATTAGGAGAATATCTACTTAGACATAACTAGCAACGACCAGTGAAGCAGCTAGCACTACTACCCAAAGTAGATAAGGTGAGTTTGAACCTACACTTATGTCATTGAAAGGTCAGTATCCAGACGATTAAGCGCTACAGTTTCTCATTGAGATGAGGTTCAGATGTGTCGTTAAACACAATTAATTGTACTTCAGGGAGAGTTTAATGCAATAAAGAGTTGATTCTTTGACAAGTGTTGTTTTTAATAAGACCTAACCCATTAGAAAGTAAGTTATTATTTCTCGAATAACAGATGACTGATAATTCCATGTGTGAATCTCTACGTTAAATTGCTCGGTTGTATATACGCTATGACAACAAAATTTATGAAGTTCACCACCTCTTTCATGGGATGTGAAATCATAACTCAGTAACCGAAAGTTCAAGCTTGTGGATTTTATTAATTAGCCACACCTATTTTGTGGGGGTTAATGTTACTAACTGGCTGCTTAAAAGTTGGTATGTAGACCAGGGTTCGAACAATGACTTACTATAGTTGAAAGTCAACTGCGAAGATCAACGAGAAATATCTGCAAATGAAATTACCATGCAATGAATAAACGCCAACATTCCGTTTATAGAAATGTGCTGGTATGCGAACAAAAACAAAGCAAAGTGATGAATACATGTACATAAAGGAAAAAAATACTTTAACAATTTCAATTACTTAATGTAATTCACAGCATCTGACTTCGGCATTGACGAAGCGAATGACGACAAAATTAGCAAAGCTTGTTTGGCTAAATTTTTATTTGCATCATTAGTAGCTTTAGCTATCATAGTTAAAGGTTCTTGGAGTTTCCCATTTGAACCATCGATCATCATAGATGGAGATATGAATTTTTCAATAGTGCTCAGAGCTTCCGAACGTTCTTTCCAAGTTTTGCTTTTTAAAAGTCCAAGTAGTTCAGGTGTAAAGCGATCACTGAAAATTTAAACAACTGAGAATACTAATTATACGTAAATTTTTTGGTGCAAAATATGACAAGGGTTGCAGTAAAATTCAAGCAAAAATATGATAGTATAGTCGAAAAAAACAACTAATTTTCGAAAATAACGTCAAACAGTTGAAATGCATCTCAAAGAATCTTGTTCAAAATTTGAGCAGATAGATTCACAAATATCGTATGTCGACTGAAAATTCAACACAAATACACATGTACACCCGTATATATCAATTAACAATTAGATATAAATATAAACAACGCAATTTTTGATTGATTCCCAAAGCTCGGACTAAACTTTCACTGGAAATGGTTGCAGTTATTTATTTCATCACTCTGAGATCCATAAAAATGTTACTTATACCTAGGTAAAATTTGTATTTAGCCAACTAATAGTAGGAACGGCTAGAAAGTGCTGCAACCAAAACCATATTTTACGTCATTCCTGTCCAGGCTTTATTGCGACAATAAAATGATCATTAGACTAAGAACTTGTGCACTGTAATTGGGGACAACTGATCATTATTCACCATAGCAGTAAATCTCTTCTCTACTTACTATCTTTACCTAAGATGATTGATGCGGAAAGGATATATTTCATCAAACGACCTACTTTGAATGTGAGACTAAATACTTAACATTTAGATTGTTGAAAAAAATGTCATATAAATAAATTTGCACCTTATATCTGTCTTTGGAAGTAGTGCTTCAGCATCAGGATCCTCCTTTTGAATAGTTTCTGCATTTGCCACCGTTGGTTCTGTTCCCTCAGAGCCAGGAGATGTGGGATCTTTGCGAAATGCCTGGGCAGCGGAAAATCGTACAGGAGCAGGAGGTGAACGATCTTTATTTTTTGCGAATTCTGCATTTAATAAGGTGATAACAGCAGGTTTTTCGTCCGCCAATAGACTGACTAAACGATCTCCAAGAAATAGATGAATAGTTCCAGCTAGAATCAAAGAATTTTGCCGGACAGATGGGTTAGTTGCACTTAGACCAGTTTTCAAAAGCGGTCCAACTTCTTGTGTAGGAATGCTAAGTACATTAGACAAAAAAAACATTAACAACATGAAAATTGCAAACAGTGAAATAGCGATGGAAAATCCGTCACGATAAAAAAAATTGCATACCTTAAAACAAGTACGTCAAGCAGTAATACTAAATTTTATTGCAATGAATAACAAACTATGATTTATGCCGCTCCGTAGATTGAAGAAAAACAACCAAAAACGGCATTAGATAAAAGAACAACGGTGTAGAGAGATGGACAGACGAAAGCAATGTAGAACGTCGCATGCGTGTGCATCGGTTCAAGTTGACATACTTCACAGCAGCACGCAAAGAACGAATAGAAACGAAAAGACTTATACCAAAGTAGACCAAAGTGTAAGGGAGATGACATTTAAGAATGAAATTTACTCAAAACATACAAGGTTCAGAAAACGTCAAGGGGTGAATAAATTTGCGCCATTGCGACCTTATTTACAGTTATGTTGCTAAAAGCCCTCAAGCAATGATTCCTATCTTCTCGTGGACCACAGTCAAGCAGTCTACATATCCAAACATAAATCGGACAAAGTCAGAGAATTCATCAATCGACTTGCCTGCCTTGCTTAATACCCTTCTCCTGACCTCAGCATTTCCCACACGGTGATTCCACCAAATGCGAGCAATGCTACGAAGACATCTGTGATCAAAACCTTGTAATCGCTCCATGTCTTCTACTTTTAACAGCCATGCCTCACAGCTGTGTAGTAGGACGGAATGGACTGCAACTGGGTATACTCGCCGTTTGATAGATAGTCGGATATCTGGCCAGTCGGTGTCACAGATATTGCAAGTTGTCAAATGCTAAACAGGCCTTTTGTATCCGAGATGAGATTTCGTCAACAACCAGTTGGTTCGGGCTGATGCAACTGCCCAAGTACGTGAAGTGGTCAACACATTCTCCACCACTTTATTCCCTATCATTAAACTATGAGCAGCGTTACACTAGTCCTAGACCATTATCCTATATTTGACAAGTGTGAGACACGTGCCAAACGTACTCAGATTTCCGCTCAATGCATTCAGAAGCCCTAGCTTTGTGTCAGTGTCTTCACCTATCTGGACAATATCGTCTGCTTACTCCAAGTCAACCATGTGATCTGCGGGGAGTAGATCAATTCCTGTGAGGTCGGACATGCCTAGGGTTATGTCCGTTAGTACGTCTATAACGAAGTTAAACAAGAACAGTGACAGCGGTGATCTAAGGCACATACGACCAGCTGCCGTCAATTTCGATGACAACTCTTCCATCTAAAGTCTCAGTCACTAGTCCTGAGTGGTTATCAGAGTTTTATTTTTTTCGGTGATGGTTTCGCTAACCATCATCTTCTTCTTGCCGGTAACCTCAATAAGCCTAAATAATTGTCAGGATTCATCTAACGCCGATCCCATTTCCATCTCTCTCGCTCTCACCAACCACCACTTCTCGAGATTACTGAGAACACTCTTATTCAATTTACGTTCCAGTCGCTTTCGCTCTTCATCGTGGTCAGAGGCAGACAGCTGAGATGAATCTTCTCGTACTAGTCGGTTCGTGTGACGTTGCGGAAGACCAGTTGCGTTTTCTAACCTTTGGATGTAGGTCACCAACTGCTTTTACGATGTTTCTACAGCAGATTTGGCGTCCTTATCGAACAATCGAGCACCGATAGGCCTCACTGCTTCTTGTTTCCTGCAGTTAGTAAGTCGCATACATACACGAGCCCGCATTAACACGTGGTCAGGGTCCGGACGGGTTCTTCAGAAAGAGCAGAAATCATCCACCAATCCTCTCTAACAATGGGTTATACCAACGTGATCTATCTGTGTCCGTCGTTGGTTTGAAGTTGGCGGACACCATCTAAGAAAGTGTCTCTGCTTATGCCTATAGTTAGTACTTGCCAGAAATAGGTGATTGTCAAAACAAAAATGCAACAGACGGTCACTTATGTCAACTCGTTTTCACAGTGTCCCGCAAATTCTCCCCTAAATACACTCCCGACTGGCTCACCTTCCCTAACTGAGCGTTAAAGTCACCTGCCATTATTACTACATCTGAATGTTTTGCCTTCTGTAGCTGCGTACGCAGAGATTACGAGCAGGCATCACACAGTCTCAAGACCATTCCTACTTCTTACAGATTTATTCGGCAAAGAGCACATAGACGGCTGTTTACTGCTATCTAGTTGAAAAAGCACACATTCTGTTCTACAACTCAACCCTATGCCTACATCAGCGAGTTCAAGAGAGCTAGGCCATCGGGTCTTTGGATGCTCGTATGGTTAAGTTTTAAGATTCTCTTCTCTGGTCAGGTGAGGTCGACCTAATAATCACACCCGGGTCTTATATAGATGTCTCAGAAACAATGAATACATCCATGAATAGAGATTTCAAAGTTTTTGCGAGCGATGCTTGTTGTCCGACTTCGTATCGAGTCCAAACGGTGAAAGCTTCTACATGAAATCGGTGGCGGGATTTTACGAGACTAGGAATGAGGTTTCGATGGCTTTGATTGTTGGCAACGGATGCAGAGTGAGAGATTGAGGAGAGTGTAAGAGGTTTAATAAAAGTATCAAAAGGTGAAGGTAAAGAAGGAGAGGTGATATTTGAGTGGGCCTTGTTTATTACTGGGAACGTGCAGGCGATGAACGCTTTATAAAAGCTTAGAACGTAGATGTTTTCGAGGTTACTTGAAAAAGAAAAAGATTTGTGTGACCGAAAAATCCTTTGGATGTCCTGCTTGAGGCCTGTCACACACAGATTTCTGAGGAATTTTAGTTTCTGATCTAGTTGTTCTAACGCCAGGTAAGAAAAACCCATACCACCGGCAACTAAAGACCACAGAGTCAAGGAGTTTGCTATTTTTGGGCCAACATTTTTTAATACCTTATCTTCCCACTGAGAAGGCAGCATCAGAGAAGTACTGCTGACTACCCGCGGGAGACACTTTACTGCCGTCAAAATCCTTTCTAGTTAGTAGCAGCATGACTTCGCTCTAGGACCCCACATGAGTGTAATAATTTATACTACGACAGTGACTGCTCTTCGTCTTACTAATATGCAATAGACCTTTCTGGCATGGTAGGACCTTGACGTAACAGGCGTTCCAGTCAGTGTAGCTCGTCAAGTCACTGTAATATGCCTGCAGACCAACACTTCAAGGTAGCAGCTATCGCGTCGGCTTAAAGAAGAGAGGACTTCCGACGCATGTTCTTCTCAACTTTGTTGTCATATATATGGATGAAGCACTTTGCCCACTCCCCTCAACAGAGAGGAGAATCCGACGTGAAACCAGATCCAATGTGTGTTAGTTCAAGATTTCACATATCACAGCAACATGCAAAGTAAAAGGTGATATGATGGTAGACAAAAGTGTATGAGTTCAATGGAAAAAAGAAGTCTACTGAAAATACTCAAGGATTCGAAAATGACAAAGAATCTATACACTTGCAGTATATATCAATAAGAGTCAACAATCATAAATTTCTATGGTCTCAAGGACCCCAGACAGATAACAACTACCCGTTTCTACATGTGAACATCTGCACGGAGGTTGCTTTTGCTGTGATATTTTTCCTCAACACATTTTGTTTTGCATAAACTGTACCGACTTTGAACTTTATTCATAATAATAGTAACAGGGATAATCATGTTGGCTTATTGACTAGGTACAAGTATTATGCTGTAAATAACAGACTGTGTATTAGGTTAGAATTGATGACTTGGAAGCTGAAAAGCTACAGGTACAAGACCTATTTGATGGGAAGAAGAAATGAACTGAAATTTATAGGCATATTCCTTATTGAAGAAGAAATAGTGAAAAGTTGCTTTTCTCACACATTACATACCAAATCAAAGTTGACCAATGTAGTAAAGCATCCATCCCAGAATCATCTTTCAATTCAATTATTACGTTTTTTCCAGAGATCTTGCAGATTATTACCCCGCTGCTACATGGTGTGTTTTCGTCACACTCATGTATATGCTTTTGTCTCTTTCAGAGATGATTACCAAAATACTATTTTATAAGGATACACAATGTCAAAAGCTCATCAACAGAATAACGTATACTGATTTGGTGAAATCCTACGATTCAGAGACGAACTTTTGATCCGTTCAGAAATTGTTCACACTAACTGATAACCAGATAAACGTGTTATCAACCATTCAGTAACACTTACTTACATTCATAACTTAAGAATAATACTATAATGGTTTAAAATGAAAGGACTTAATAATGAAAATATTCTAAAGACAATGTACACCACATGAAAAGTGAAAAGCTATGGACATCCTGAGTAAGTAGTAGTACTGATTTTTCCTTAAGACAAACGTATTCCATGAGTTCCGTGTTCATTCAAATAACCGTTATACAAAAAAGTACACTTCTAACGATTGGTCAAGAATTCGTCATTAAAATTTGACATATATGTACATAAAAACGCTTACCTAAACCCAAATTCCTGAACATTTTGGTTTAACCACGTTAAACCTTCAGCTTGACTGCGAGGATTTTTCAGTTGGAAAAGCATTCGTATTACACATCCACCCACTAATTCAAGACTTGTTCGTTCAGCTAACAGTGTCAATGTCGTTTTGACTATGTCACCCACTTTGGCATCACAAACCTTATCAAGAAGTTCTGATACGAGCAGATCAGCCACATTTGAACTGACAGAAGCGTTTGAAGACAGGATCGCATTGATATATTCAATGCGAGCACGAAGAACCTTGATAAAGGTGAAGGGGAACATCAGACAGGTTTATACAACAGCCCATTAATCATTACTTTCAACAACCAGTTTTTTTATAGTATGCTAACTGGGATTTTTTTTTCGTGAACACAAACCAGTAAACTTGAACAACAACTGACTAAAAAGCTGAAAATTACATGTGATTACAAGCGCTATTCCGAGGAAGGCTGTCTTTTTTTGATAGTAAGCTATTTTGGGCTAAACCATACCATACAAATACCTTAATTATACTATACAAAATAGTGCAATACTCCAATATTAAGAAAACATTGTATTTACATTTCTTAACAATACTGATTTTTACCTTAATAAACATTATCGCTCAACATATCAGCTAAACAAACGATTTTACAAGGCAATGTCATACGCCCAATACTCCAGCAAGGGTAGAATACAAGTCATTCCGCAGTATGCGCATCTCCTACCTCGCGAGTCTGCGCTAGGCTTTTCAAATAGACAACACACGAAGTGCTTCGCTTAGAAGTACACAAATGTGACAGACTTTAAAGGCCATCCTAATAAATGCAAACACAACCGATTACGTCTGACTATTTTATGATCAAACTACCCTCCCGACCGAAATACAGAAACCTAATTGGTTATTTCAACAGTTGCCGCTTTAATATTCACACATTTAGAAAAAAAGCAGTTTCCTAGCCTAAATACAGAAATCTAGTTTGTCATCATTTTAGCAGCTGATAGGGTTACCTCTAGGATGAGTCCCTACATATAGCAAAAATAATTCGCCCCGCTTGTAATGCCGGCTTTAAGGGCTGCTGAAACAGGTTTATTCATTTGTTAAATAACTACCGTCCTAGCCAAAATACCGAAAACTGATTGCTTATATCAGTAGCTGCTAGGGTGGGCATTGCAACAAATCGCCTTCAGCAATATCAGTTACGGATACGTGAGCCTAATCGATGCACATTGATGTAAAGATATAGTGAGGACAAATTAAGGCGTACAATCACTTTTCACACAGACAGGAATACAAAATAAGAAAGCGAATAACAGATGTGAAATCCCTGTCAAAGACCATCACGTTTCGCATTGCCATCCACCCATGTGGGCTGCAGTTATTGAGAAAAAAGCAAAAGACTAGGAGGCAAAGTTCTAACACACCAATCAATTCGCAAAATAACCTGTGGTATTTCGTTAGCCAGACCAGAGTGATGTAAACATAAGACGGTTAATTTGCTCATTCGAGGTCGAGCTGAACAGTAGTATACCCGGACAAATTCAGATCATTGAGCCAAATTAGTTCAAATCACCTGAATCTGGCTAGCTGACTTGCGAATCATTTGTAAATTCATTATCCTATTTTAGACATACAAGTACAGGCAAGTTAGTTAGCCAGATTCGGGTAATCTGAACTAATTCGAGTCTATGAGCGGAATTTGTCTACCAACACTGCTGATTAGCTGACTCAGTCCCAAACGAGTGAAATGGTCGTTCTGTGTTTAGATCACTCTGACTATGCTAGCGAAACACTACAGATCAGCCTGAGCGGTTTCTAACTACTCAAATTGTTTAATAGCAGTATCTTGGCAACACGGTTATCTGAAATATAGACAGATCAAATGTACCAGTGTAACAAATGCTTCTTTTCGATTACACTGAACAGTGATATCATCATCTTTCTTCCCATAAGGACATTTGTGGTGCTGTGAAATCTTGGCATAATTATTATTATTTATCCCCTGGGTTCCTAGTGGGACACATAGGGCTTCAGTAGCACGTCTCCATTCCACTCTCTTCTCTGCAATCTTTCGAACCTGGCTGGCTCCACGACTACCCACAAGCTCTCATTTCTTCCTCACACGATCTCCTCCATGCCACCCTCGGCACCGACGCCCAACTCGTCGCTTCCCATCTGGGTTCCACTAGAGGGCTTGACGCGTGATGTCCCCAATCGGTCTTCTCGGTGCATGCCCAATCCATCTTTACTTCTTTCCGCATATTTGTTGAGCGATAGGTTCTTAGTTGGTTCGTTACCAGCCAGCCAGAGTGAGTTCCTTGTTGCTCATTCTTCCTGGCAATCCATTTGAGCTTCAGTAACGAGCCAGAGTAGGCAGTTGATGAATATCTGAAGTTTGTTGGAGATTTCTTTCGTAACGCGCCAAGTCTCTGAACCATACAGGAGTACTGACTTGACGTTGGTGTTGAAAATCCTAATCTTGTTCCACATGCTGAGTGCAGAAGATCTCCACAGTGGTTTCAGGCTAATGAACGCCTGTCTTGCTTTTCCAATCTTGGCTGCTTGACGTCCTCGTCTGTGCCGCCTGTAAATGAAACCATGCTGCCTAGGTAGGGGAAAAAGACTAATTCCTATGGGTTTCTCCCGTTGATGATGATTGGAGCTTGTCGTTGTTGGTTGAGTATCTTCATCACCTCTGTCTTCTCGACGTTCACTTGAAGTCCCGTCTTCGGTGTCTCACCTCTTCTGTCAACCTGTTGCTTTTTGCCTACAGATCTCGGAGCTTGTGCGACAAGACATTAGACATAAATCATCGGCAAAATCCAAATCTTCTAGGTTCTTTTCATCAGTCCAGAGTATCCCCCTCCTCTCGCTCCTCGCTGTTTGTTGCATGATCCAGCCCACTACAATCAGGAATATCATAGGTGATAGTAGACAGCTTTGTCTTACTACTGTCTCCACTTCACTTCAAAAGCATCACTGAGCATCCCATTGTGAAGTACTTGGTATGTGGAGTTTTCATGTAGTTGTTGAATGAGGTTGATGTTTGTGGTATTCCATAGTGTTGAAGCAGCTGGCCACCAAATTACTTCTCGGTCGACGCTGTCGAAGGCGTTTTCAAAGCCGATGAAGTTGAGGTAGAGAGTTGACTGCTATTCTATGGTCTGTTCTATGATGATGTGTAGCGTAACGTTGCAATTTGATTCGCACATGATTTGTACTTCCTGAATCCATCCAGCCTGTTCCGGTCGTAGCTTTGAATCTAGCGCATCCTTTAGTCTCTCTAGTATGATGCGGCTTAATATTTTGCTCGGGGTGGACAGGAGGATGATTCCGAAAAAAATACTATGAAGCATTGAATTTAATTATGAGAAGAATAGTCTGTTCGTTCATTATGCTAAGTGGTAATTTAGTGCATTTGTCCCTTACTTGAAGAACACTTTAGTACTATTATTCAAGAGATTTTAAGAAAGCAAATGTAGCTTTAAATACTCATATTCAATAGAAAAGAAAATATGAGTGACGATGTGGATTCATGTTCGACATTTGTAGGTTGACATAAAGGGGAAAATCAGTTCAAGAAATGTCTTTCGGTAACATAGCTGTTACCTTTTAGAAACACCCATCCGTTAGCAATCCCTTTAGAATTTGTTGCTAAGTTGATTCGATGCGGGAAGGTGAAAGTTTTGTTTGCATACAATCGAATGAGGATTACACTGCAAAAGGTAAATTGGCGAGTACTGCTGAGAACTATTTGCTGCTACAATCCTGAGATAACTCGAAGTCGACTGAAGTAGTAATGATGCATCCAGTGATTACCCCACTTTTCAGATTTTTCTATTAACCTTTTATAGGAATTTTATTTCTGTTGTTACATTTATTTCGATGGTATATGTCAGAGCATGGTAGCTAGAATCGAACTACTAGTATAGTATGCATAAACAAACATACACACATGAATACATACACACACAGCATAATTAGGATATCCGACAGACTTTTTTGGAAAATCGTAACGTCTTCCATGTTGTCGCCAATGTATACACTTTTTCTGTAATGATAAATCGATACCCAAAAAACAATTAAAATCTAGTCCTCCGAAAACACAATTAATTACCTGAAAATTAGTATCCTTGATTCCAGGCTTAAGTAGTACGCAACGACAAAGAACTTGTGTAGGCATATCAGGAGCGCTGACAGATTGCAGGTTAGACTTCAGTTGTTCAACAGCTTGTAAGCGCTCTTTCCAATTTGTATCGGACATTTGCTTTACAAGTGCCTCACCAAGAAGTCTAAAATGAAGTTGACCGGAAACTGTATGACAACTAGTGGAAAAAGGAATATCCTAGCTCGCTATGTTAAAACAGCACTTCTAAAACGGTTGAAAAGCAAAAAACTGTTGGTACGAACACATCTGAACAAAATTTACAACTGGTGTTAACTGATACGCTACACAATATTAGAGTATCAAGAGGATAATTACTGTATTAAAAAAGTCAGATAGCGAAAAAAATATTATGAACTCTACTACCAGTTTTCATCATCTTGATACAAAGAATAACCACACGTAAATAAAATTACAACTTAAGCGGTCATATAATGGTTTATAGGTTCTCATTATTATGGTAATCCATATCAGGGTGAGAACTTGGGAAATATTTATCTCCCGCATATCCCGAGGAGAATAGGAATTTCCCTTATTAACCGTTAAAGCCCATCTACTACAACATTGTTCCTTCCCCTAGGTCAAGCGTCTTTAGTCTACAGCCTCGACTACTGCAACCCCCTGGGATATAGTAGCCAGATGCTGATTCAGGAATGAAATCAATATCTTTCCATAGAAGACAAAGTCAGTAGTGTAAAAAGACGCAACACTAATCAAAAATTCTCTATCGTACTATTTGTTTTGTCATCGATTCCTTCAATAAAATTATGTGTGTGCTCTATGGTGACCTAACCATCTCTCATTTTAATGATTTAAATACGTCAGCCAGCGATGTTTGTACATCATATCTGCTAGTTTTTGTATCTATTTTGCGATGTCTGCGCCTCTTCGGTACATTTTTTCCTAAGTGACTAAGGTGATTAACAATGTCAAGTGAAATTATGTGAATGACTAACAAAGTTTCTAGTGTTTAAGAAAATCTTATTTCCTTTAAATCTTCACCGTGTGATATCGAAAATTGGCCGAATTTTGAAAGTTAGCATTATCCTTCAGAATGTCATTCCTTCTATAGATATTATCATATGTTTTAAAGTAAAACGACAGCTTCTTTACACGGTGCTGGTTGGAATTCGATCTCCTTAAAGTCACACATTGCTCCTTTAACAAGCAAACTTTTATGGTTGCATTTCATAAACTGAGGCTGCTACCCACTTCTTGAAAATAAAACCCTGAACCCTACAACTTGTACTTTAAATAATAAAACCAAATCACTAGATAGTGATTCTGGTTTTAATCTTGTGAAAAGATTTACATCACGTGGCTTAGAAATCATAAAGAAAACTCTCGATTTTCATGAAATGTATAAAATGCTAAAAAAAAACTATGAAGATACTTCCCAGGACTAATTAGAAATAAGCAACGTAAGTATTGCTTATCTAAACCTACTAATAAAAAGATGGTGTTTTAAGACTGGTCTGTAGCTACTCCAATTTCAAGGACAGAAAGCTAAGCGATAGACAGAATGCATTGATTACACCAATCACATTGAGATTTGCATCAGCTCATATGGGTTGGCTATTTACAAAATCTCAGCTCAGATGCAAAAAACCTGTTTGACACTTGTTAACCAAAGTCAGCCATAGTACCAGCTACGTATCCAACCACCTATTAAAGAGTAGCGCTAGAATCCATTCTGTCTTATTATACAACTCTAAGACATAGCCATTAGAAGTAGATGTGAAGAGATCACAGACTTTCGACAAGTATCTTCGCAGATTTGCTCACGTGTGGTGGGACGACCATGTGACTAATTTCTGCGTTAGGCGTAGAATATTACACAGACCAGATATGATGAGGTTGTGAACCTTTATACATTGATGTGACTTGTACATGTGTTGCGTATGCCTATTTATCACCTACCTCAAAACGTTTAGATAAAGTACGATTGGTTTATTAGAATGCTTAGTGAGCAGTCCATAAAATCTCCGGTCTAAGTCATTTACAAAGGTGTAGATTGTATGGGGCTGATGTCATCAAGACAAATAACTTTCAGTTCCAAATTCTTTTTCCTCCCCTAAAATTTGTTTACTTTGAAACCACTTTTTCTCAACCCACATGTTTTTTGTATGTTGCTGTGAAGTATGGTAACTTGAACCGACGCACTTCTGTATGAGGTTTTATACCCAATAACCTCTAGAATAGATATCAAAAGTACAACTTTTCGGCAAGTTATCAAGCACTGGGTTTCACTACATTATTAGACAGAAGAATGGTTGGCTGGTCTACCTAACTCACTAACAAGTTATATGATTAAGTGTAGTGTGAAGGACACGCTTGAGGTTACTGAAAGAATCCCATGAAAAACAGACAACACGATAACTATTCCGGAAACATTACTGTAATGAGTTCATATATATAGCCTGGTTCTAACAGAAGTTTTGCTGGTCACCTATTACATACACATTCGATGCGTGAATCAGATACATCTGCTTATCTAATTCTGACCAACACTTCGCTCCATACATGTGACGCACGCGTCACCGTAGTTTTTTGGCTATTTATGTATGTCTTTCAATGGTTATACTGCCATAAAATTGTATGTCCATAAATATCCATATTAGAGTAGAACACAGACCACATTACATAACCTTGAGCACAGCCCGAGCCTCGGTAGGTGAAGCGGAGTTGAAACCCGTGACCCACTGGTTGATAGTCACCTCCCTAAATCACTAAGCCATGGCTAATATGCATTAACATGGGCAAGATTGCAACGCTTTGCGTCTCTAGAACTTTTCTATTCTACTCTTGAACTCCAGAGTATATGCCCCGATTGATTAACAATAGATTGTTATTTGTTTCCAATGATTAAAAATACGATTGTATAATTATGCTAAACGAGACAGTCCAGAAGAAAATTTCCTTCGCTGTTACGTCTTTATTTTAATACTGAATGTGTTTTTGATTTGTTCGAATTGTGTGCACTATGTGTGAGTTCTGTACAATATGCTGATACAAATTACAACCCCAGCTCCAATCCTTCCGGTGCAATTCTACATTAAAAGATTTAGTACGTATCTGGTATGGAAGTGAAGTCATAGTTCGATTTTAAAAACAGTACAGCCACTTGTTTTCTCATTTAGGTCGCCTACAGAAGATCGGTAGTCGCATTTGTGAATGCAGATATACCTCGTTGAAATCCTCCAACAGTTGCTACTTTCTTGCAAGATGAATTACACAATTCCAGCTTAGTAATGAAATTCAAAGTCAAAGGGTAGGTAAGGCTGCGCGTCAGTCGATAAAATCTCCACTAACCAACACACGATTACGGCTAAGTTGAAAACTAATCACTGCAGAGCACAATAATCTAACCAGTCTTCGATTGCAGATATACGTATGACACAACCTATGCAATAAAATCGAAGTTATCAATAAAACAAATGGGACATAGTTCATAACCACTTTAACTATTAGCTTAGCTAGTACAGAAACTTTTAGCCAACTAACATGTCATCTCCCGAAAAATCCAATAATATATATTGATAATCACTTACTCAGAGGCCTTGAGAGATATTTCATCCTCTGTTAACAAGTTTTCCGCTGGAATTCCAGACTTCGATTGATCTCCAGTTGCTGCAGCAGATTTTGCACGTGTCGTTTTCTTACCAGGCGGTTTAGAGGTGGGAACTGCTTTATTAGTATCCTCTGATGCAACTTGCCCTGTTCCACTAGGGGCTGTATTCGGACGAGCGACGGGTGGTGCTGCACGACGTGGTGCAGAGTCAGGCTTCGCTGGTGTGGTCGGTTGACCAGCTGATTACCAAAAAATAAAAAAGTGCATATCAGGATTAAGAAAACAATCTGACAACTACTTGAAATAAACCTAGAAGTAGTTACAGAAATACACGACTGTGGAAAAACTACCCGATACCGAACGCACAACTGAGCTCACCAAAGTCAGTAACACAGCACTACTAGACCAAGGTGGCTGAACAAAACTAGCGAGACAACCTTAAACTTTAGTGAGCTTTGAACAATGAAGTGATTTTGGTCACAGTACACTCTCGGTTGTATTGTTTTCTCTGAGCTGGGTTATTTAACCGTGAAGCTTTCATAGTCTTTCCTAGACGACATCATCAGCATCAATGAACCAGCGATGATGACAGCAATCAATTGAGAGACAGCAGAAATATCACTAATAATATTACCAGACTTGAAGATTTTAGGGGAAACATTTCCTAATTTCATGAAATAAAGATATGTAAAGTCAAACTTTAACCAAAATTACGCCACATTAAACTAAATTGTATGAATATATTCGTATAATGGTCAGATTAGAAAACAACAGCAACGTAAGGCAGAGGAGTCTACAAGAGTGGAATGCTTGTCCAATGAAATCCAACTACATATGGAAGCTTGATAGGTGATGATTAAACTATCGAAATCAATGAGAGAAAACTTAAGAAACATATTCTTAACTGTTGGCTTTGAAGCAACCATTAGACCATTATGTGTTGGTCATTTTGTAAAGAATGCATTGATATTCTCTGTAAGTGAAGGTGACAGTAACAAGAGACCCGAAATTCTCATTCTTAATCTAATTTCTTTCAGGTATATAGTTGGGAAATATCGCTTTAAAAATTTGAAGTAATTAATTCACTTGATCAATTTCGACAAAATAAATCAAGCCTCGTCATAGTCTCATGTAAAGTATGCATGGCTCACATGTCTACAGCAACACAGTTTATAGCATTTTTTAGACCCAGACGTTTTTCTGTTATTTTATTTGGCGTGACTTAATCAATCTCAATCTAAACAATTGGTAAAACCCCCGAACATTCCGTCCCACGTCAAGTAAACAAAACCACTAGGTGAAATATTAGAATACTTGGTCATCAGCATATAATACATCAAAATACATGCATGAAACTTATGACTAATAATTTCTCGAGTCTATATAACTCCTCACAAAGAGCTCAAAGGTGTTTTCGCACCCAAACCGTAGACAGCAGAATTAACATTGTCGTAAAAGAAGTAAATAATTTCAACTAGAGCTACGACCATCAAATTCATTCGATACCAATGATCTATATTATACAGTACATAAAGCTAAAACGCTAAATGACCCATGAATCACGTCATTTTAGTTACGCTTTGATAACAATTTGACAACAGATCACTACATGTGTTTAAGTAACTATTACCAAATAACAATTAACACGAATTATAAAAACAATTTTAGAAAAACGTCAACTAAGAGAAAAAATGAAAAACTAACCGGAACGACTCGGATTGCCAACTTCAGAGGCTATTTGCTCACAGCAATCACTGATTTTCGACATTCGAATAGGATCCAGTTCACTGAGGAACGGTTGTATCGTTTTCGCCGATACGACGAACATCGCAGTGCCAAGGGCGGCAAAACTGCCTTCACGTACTTCAGGGACAGTATCATTACAAGCTGCACACAGCGGTACGGTAAATGATTTCAGAAGCTTTTTGTTTAGCGTTACGGCGGAACACTTCCTGAATACTCTGCTTAAAATCAAGGCTGCCTCTGCACGTACATTAGGTGTTTTGTGACCCAGAGCAGCTACAATGTCATCCACAAAATGATCTAGAGATGTCTACAAAAATATGACTTGATTAGAGGTAGGTATGTCTGGGTATAAGTAATAATATGAGTTCGCAAAACACACTCAAACCACGAAATTCAAAATGCCTGCCAATGAAATTTAGAACGCTTGATAACGCAGTTTAAATTATTTCTCTACAATTAATAAGTGGCTGCACTAAACAACAAATAAACCTTCGAATCAATCAGATTCAAGCATAACAACATGGAAGGAAACAATGGAATATCATTCATTGCATAACGACTTAATCAAGTTCAAATCGCAAGCATGGAAATGAATTCTGCACCATGGAGTTGGTCCCCACCTTATAACCACAAGATGATTATTGGGTAATCATTCTTTATTCTCCCATTTGAGTCCCCTTAAGAGAAAATGACCAATTTTTATGTATCGAACTCGGAGTTACATTGTTCTTGAAAAAAATCTTAATCTTCAATGCCAGGCTTGGTACAACTTCTGTACACAACCCATATCACATCACAAGGCGTGGATAATAAATCACTGTTGTCAGATAAACCAGACAAATAAATGTTTCATTTAGCTTAACCTTAGACAAAACTATATTTAGAAATCGATAATATAAAAAAGGTTGGCATAGAACAACCTTCATCAACATTAATTCAGTGCCAATACTATTGAGACAAAATGAAACAGAAAGATTAGTAGCATAATTTTCGTAAATTGATCTAAGTGGACTAAAAGGAGTGAATAGCAAAACATAAATACATGATAACATTAAGGTACTTCTTTAAAAAGAGATACACAAAACTGAAACGTTATTTCATACTATCTACAGATGCATTAAAGAAAGAATTCCACATGATCTATTCAGATTAGCGCAATAAAGTAGGAATAAGACACAAGTGTGTCATCTGAGCTTTCTAAGGCGATAAAGATAATGAGAAAGTAAAAAGCACAGATGCGTATCGAGATGGAAACAAAGCAATCGAACCGACAACCAGTTAGGTAATATTGACGTAGATGTATTACTGTATAGATACATATTTCAAAAGATAATAGACAGATTTGATATTGGATATATCTCAATAATCTTGGAAGTTTGTTAATTTTTACTAGTACAAGAAAAAGCAATGGTAAAAAGTTGACGATATATATATATATATATATATATATATATATATATATATATATATATATATATATATATATACTCTTTCTTAAATGAGCATCGGAACAGAAGTACTCAAAAATTTCGACAATCATCATCGGTACGCAGACTTAATGATCCTCAGAATAATGTTCAACAACAATCACTTGTGAAATGAATCTTGAACCAACTATCGTATAATCATATGGAAGCGTAAAATTTGATTGATATCAATTTAAAAGTTGCAGAACTTCTACTAATTCACTCTAAAAATTTTGCAAAAGAACTAACAGTTCACATGGAAAACAGTGACTTATAAACAAACAAAAGAATGCAAGGAAATTCAGTGCTATCAAAGAAATAAGCGACCTTAGGCAAGTCTGCCTGTGGATAACACTACCAAAAGCAACTAACTTGACATGGCGGACGGGCAAGCATATCATAGTGACCCGACGAGCTGCATCGGTTGAAAGGTCCGTCGGATAGGAATTAGACAAGAAGCAGTTACCACTATAGTGTAAATTGCTACGCTATGCTGTGAGTCTGAGGGCAACGTCATACTGCTAACGGTATCGGGCGTGACATCAGCAAGGTGTTTCCTCTGCATGAATAGCAGTACCACGCTGATGCTGCCTTTCTTATGGGGAGGGAAGAGCGTTAGAATAGATCGGTCGCAAAATTCCACAACCATCACATCACGACACGCCGATGTCTGAAACAGGCACTCATATATGGATTCCAAAGCAAAAAACTAACATGTCGGACATGTGGAACGATCAGATGTGACCGGGTTTAAGCAAATGTCCCACAGTCTAAGTTGACAGAAATCATTTTCCCTTACGCGCAACTCAGAAAGAACTAGCACTAATCAGTGTCGGCAGCCAGGAATCGTTAAACGCGAACACACCTCCAGAAGAACGCAACATTAAACAAATATCCCTCTCAGTTCCTTCAAATCCCTTGACGTCACCTAGTACAGTAATAATACGCATCGAATAATTCGCTCAACCACTCACTCAGCTACGCTAAGGTGTCGGGGCTAGTGTGTGACTAAAGAGATTACCGAACAAGCATATAATGCTTATCAAATTTCTCTACTCAAACTCTTACAGCCATGTAACATCTAATGGAGAGTTGTCATCCGAATTGATGACAACTGGTGGTATCCAGTAGGGATGCCCAATGTCGCCATTCCTACTTATATTCGTTATAGACGTACCAACAGACACAGGGACTGATCTACTCCCTGGAAGGTCATCTGGTTGAATTGGAGTGCGCAGACAATATAGTTCTGCTAAGTGAAGACGCTGAAAAAAAAAAATGCAGGTAGGGGTCTCTTGAACGCGCTGAGCTGAAATCTGAGTATGTTCAGCACACATTTCGCACCTGTCATATACAAGATAATGCTTCAGAGCTGGCCTGCAACTACTCGTAGTTTAAAGATTCAGAGTGGAGTCGTGGAGTATGTCGACCACTTCACGTACTTGGGCAGTTGCATCAGCCCGAACCAACTGGTTGTTGACGAAATCTCATCTCGGATACAAAAGGCCTGTTTAGCATTTGACAACTTGCAATATCTGTGACACCGACTGGCCAGATATCCGACTATCTATCAAACGGCGAGTATACCCAGTTGCAGTCCATTCCGTCCTACTACACAGCTGTGAGGCATGGCTGTTAAAAGTAGAAGACATGGAGCGATTACAAGGTTTTGATCACAGATGTCTTCGTAGCATTGCTCGCATTTGGTGGAATCACCGTGTGGGAAATGCTGAGGTCAGGAGAAGGGTATTAAGCAAGGCAGGCAAGTCGGTTGATGAAGTTGTGAACCTTAGTCAACTGAGATTGCTTGGACATGTGTTGCGCATGTCAAGCCACCGCCTACCTCGACGTCCCATGCTAGGCGAAGTTGGATTAGGTTGGAAGAGAGTTCAGGGTGGCCAGACCAAGACATGGCACCAATCCATGAAGTCGTTCACTGTTGGTCTGAGCTGTGCTGGGAGATGTAGACTACTAAGACACTGTTGGTCTGATTCCTGCATGGTTACAGTTCTCGAAACGATTTGAATCAGTGGTTGAGGACTTTCGGTGAGAGGGCTGGCAGTCAGTCACAATAGTGGGGATGTGTTCATTTTGACATCTTCTAAAGGTTGAATATTCACATTAACCTCTATCCTAAAATTGTTTATTCTCTCACAACTTCACCTACTCTGCTATCTTTATTTTCATTTGTAAACTACTGTGAAGCAAGGCAACTTGAACCCATGCACTTGTGTGCTAGGTTCTATGTCAATTTTGTCGGTTTGATATAGCGATGTCACGATACTCCATTCTGATTTATATTGTTAACAAACGCATGTTGTACTGACTTCCTTGCATTTCATCTTCACACAGTATACATAAAATCATAAGTGTGTGATCATACCGTTCTAATGCATCGCAGAAATACATCAGATTTTTCAGATGCGGATTTTTTTCTCATTAAGTTAGGAAAACCTACCAACAGCAATGATGTGCAATTCAATAATGTCACTGACCTCGTTTATGTACCAGGCTTCAAACCATACTCGTTGTCTAAGAGCTAATGGAACTACGCACTTGACTATGCCGAAATGGGCGAGGCGTAATTTAGTTTTCGAAGAAACGAGCCTAGACTGGATATTTCTGTCGAGTGGAAAAAACCAGTGTTGTCCCGCCTAGTCCTTAGTGTTAACTAATTTTATCGATCGAGCCTTTGATATGAGCTCAACATTGTAGTACATTGTATTTGAGATTGGATCACTCAAGACATACCTCGAAGGAAGGTTTTCACGCTACTGACACTCATCAGCAAGTTCTGTCGACAAACTCATCACGAACAAACATTTTCCAGCTCTAAATGGAGGTAGAGCTATGTGACAGAATTTTACGATCAGAAGCATAGTAATAAATCCAACGGCTGGTTGGTTGACTTGTTTGAGTACCCTGATAGCGTTGTTATTTAAAACCGAAATACATGATACCATACATAAATACACCGTAACTAGTGTTTTTATCAGTGTAATCTAGATTTAGCATATTACGGCAAACAAAACAAGCATTTTGTATTAACCTCCAACGTTTCAATGTTGCCAGAAAGACTCTTATGAAGTCTAAAGGAATTTGATATTAGGTTTTTAGGTTATTATATTCATGTCAAATATAAAAAGTGAGTTCATTTGTAACCAACCAACTGAAGTGTCATAAAGAATGTAGTCGAAGTAAGTTACTCATGTGTTCTTAACACCGCCTGTTCGAATACAATATTTTAGTCGTATTCCGTCATTCCTTGTCGATTCTGCATCACTCATTCTTTGATTGTGTGTTTGACAGTCGAATATAATCCTACACCCTTCGCTTCATTACCTTACTCGCATATACTTGAATAAAGCTATTTCCATTCCATATTAGACTTGATACAACTTAGTAACACAGCATTATTTACTGGATGACATTTCAAGCATAATTTTTTACTTCAACAAGAAATTTACCGAACCATGAGAATAGCACACCAAATGAAAATTCCCTGAGACAATAAAACGTAAGTGAAACCCGAAAGAAAGGTAATGTATGCACTTAACACATGGGATACTTACCGAAGAGACAGCAGCATCAGCAACTTCTCTTAAGGCCTGGACAACATTCGGTTTCTTTTCTTTAAACTTGGCTAAACAGGCTTGCAAGGTTTGTTGAGAATAAGGACTGAACTTAGATTTTAGTCCTTTTGCCAACTGCCCTAAAATTTTAGCTGCAAGAGCTACTAGAATCACGTTGGTATCCTTATTAACAACCTGTCAATTTAAATTTGTAATGTTTTTGTTCCAAATTACCTGAAGTAGACTCTTCACAAGATCTGAAAAGTCTCCAGGCACGATTCGAGGAACGTTTGTTACCTTCTCAAGTGCCTCCAAAGCATCACGACGATCTTGCCATTTTTTTTCAGTCTAAAAGATTATCAGCCTGACTATGTAAGGAAACGTACTATTTGCTGCCAGTAATCTTTGGGAATTTTGCTAAGAACCTCAACAGGAGTAATCATATCATCCACATCAATTTGAACAACTTGAATTTCATCTGAGGCGACTGCCTGATCACCATTTTCAACACTCACGTCTGGAATAGTTTCTTTAGGCTTTTGACTGCGTAAGTACCGCACTCGAACAGGTTTTTCTGGTGGAACGCAGTTGAATAATTCATTCAGTTCATTCATCTGAAAGCTTTGCTTAAAACTGTATTTATTATACTCACCACAACAGGTTTAATATCTTTTAACAAATCTTTTGTACCAGCACCCACCCATCTGTAAACTTCAACAATAAGATTTTTCGTCTCATTTCGAATGCCTTGGTCTCGATCATCAAGAAGTCGGCCAAACTCCTTAAAAAGAGGTTTAGTCGGAACCACAGCTGAACCGAAAAGACTAAATACAAATCAGTAATGAGTAAGATCGGTCCTACTTTAAAGCTTCACGGAGAGTTTGTAGACATCCTATAACAACCTTTGGATTCTTTGTTGATAATCCCTTCATTAGTTCTTCGATTATCAACTCATGACGTTCAATTTCTATCAGCATCAGGAGACATTCGATTGACTTATCTTTTGTTTTCGCCCGAGTAGAACCTAGGCATTTTGATATGATACATGAACATATATCTCCGGCGCATCTAATTATAGTTATTAGAAACAAATCACTACTTTGAGGCTGCCGAAGCAACTTCTATATATGCTAGGACAGCATCTAAAGCTTTTTCTTGAGCTACAGCATGAGGATCAGTTACAAATTTCTTCATCAGTCCAATGTACTCATTGAAAACAACACTTTTTTCATTTGTCTCAGTCGAAAATAATTGGAAAGCCTCTTCATATCCTGCCACACGAGCGTTCCAGAGCTAACATTACTATTTATTTGGCAAAATGTCCTTACTTTGTGCTGTACTTTAGCCAGAGTAGGTAACTTAGACCAATCATCTTCTGCTGACATACTGAACGATCAAAATCTAAAGAGAAGAAACAACAAGATTAGGCAATGCTCTTAAACGCATGTACTCTGTGATTCCTAGGTCATCAATAGTATAATAAACTCAATTCATTCACACTAATCTAGTAAAACATAATCCATCCAAACCAACATAGGACCAGGCACTACTGCGTAGCGGTCCGAGTTGCCACACCTCAATATCAGCACATCAAGTGAAAAGGCAGTGAACTGGAAGATGAAGAAAAGAAAACGCAGTCAGAAGAAATGTAAAGTACCAAAAGAGAGAAAGAGTGAGGTAATGGTGGGATTCGGTATAGCGTTAAGATAAGGCTAATGTGTGTATACACCAGTGCCACAGACTTCCTTTCTGAAACATCACCTAGAGTCTCTAATCACTGGTTTACCTTATCAGAAGGACCGCAACCGGCTAGTCTGGAACACCCCACACGGCTCAAAGCAACAGTAAAAGAAATCATACATTAATGCTACGCTTCGGTCTGGCCTCCCTGAGCCATTTTTCAACCCGAAAACCATTTCGGCCAACCTTGGGAGGCGAGGCGGAATTTCACTACAAATACGCAGTAATTCATAAACCATGCCACCTGAGAAGCAGGGATAATATCCAAAAGATCAGTCAGGCGCCTCAACCACTGATTCAAATCGTTTCGAGAACTGTAACCATGCAGGAATCAGACCAACAGTGTCTTAGTAGTCTACATCTCCCAGCACAGCTCAGACCAACAGTGAACGACTTCATGGATTGGTGCCATGTCTTGGTCTGGCCACCCTGAACTCTCTTCCAACCTAATCCAACTTCGCCTAGCATGGGACGTCGAGGTAGGCGGTGGCTTGACATGCGCAACACATGTCCAAGCAATCTCAGTTGACTAAGGTTCACAACTTCATCAACCGACTTGCCTGCCTTGCTTAATACCCTTCTCCTGACCTCAGCATTTCCCACACGGTGATTCCACCAAATGCGAGCAATGCTACGAAGACATCTGTGATCAAAACCTTGTAATCGCTCCATGTCTTCTACTTTTAACAGCCATGCCTCACAGCTGTGTAGTAGGACGGAATGGACTGCAACTGGGTATACTCGCCGTTTGATAGATAGTCGGATATCTGGCCAGTCGGTGTCACAGATATTGCAAGTTGTCAAATGCTAAACAGGCCTTTTGTATCCGAGATGAGATTTCGTCAACAACCAGTTGGTTCGGGCTGATGCAACTGCCCAAGTACGTGAAGTGGTCGACATACTCCACGACTCCACTCTGAATCTTTAAACTACGAGTAGTTGCAGGCCAGCTCTGAAGCATTATCTTGTATATGACAGGTGCGAAATGTGTGCTGAACATACTCAGATTTCAGCTCAGCGCGTTCAAGAGACCCCTACCTGCATTTTTTTTTTTCAGCGTCTTCACTTAGCAGAACTATATTGTCTGCGCACTCCAATTCAACCAGATGACCTTCCAGGGAGTAGATCAGTCCCTGTGTCTGTTGGTACGTCTATAACGAATATAAGTAGGAATGGCGACATTGGGCATCCCTACTGGATACCACCAGTTGTCATCAATTCGGATGACAACTCTCCATTAGATGTTACATGGCTGTAAGAGTTTGAGTAGAGAAATTTGATAAGCATTATATGCTTGTTCGGTAATCTCTTTAGTCACACACTAGCACGACACCTCGAATGTCACCTTCAGGCTAAGAAATATGGCAAAGGTTGGCCGCTCGCCGGTATGTTTGTGTTTCAGAACTTACCGTAATTCAAGTCTGAAACCTGCATGTTTCACTGGAGTTTTCTGTTGTTGATTCCCTATGAGGCGTCAGATAACTATGGACCCTAGGATTTTGGACAGTATTAGTCGAATTAATTCCGCTATGGTTGTCACAGGAAGACTTCTCTTTGTTTCCATATTGGCATGATCAGTGTATGCCAGTTGGACGACACTACCTCTGATTTTCATACACTTTTTAGTACCTCCATCACTGGCAGACTCCCACATCAATTCTCGCTAACCACGCGTGGCAAACTGTCAGGTCCTGCTGCTTTGCATCATGTCATGTTCGATACATCCTTCGCAACTTCAAAGATAGTTGGAGGACCGACATTAACGTCTAGGTCAGATGTTAGGCAACTGAAGCGTTTCATTGGGTCCGTTGAACTGTGCTTCAAAGTGTTCTGTCCACTGTTCAAGTCGTGTCTCCTGTGAGGTTATTACTGTCCCATCCTTTTTGGTGACGGTCTCACTAACCATAGTCTTTTTGCCGGTAACCTTAATAGGTTGCTTGGTCATTAATGCATTGATCATTACCCTCTGCCAGATGCTTGAACATCGCCACATGTATTGCACACCAACAATTATTGTGTTTCTTGACATCAGGGCTCCCTTCGGTTCGTTGGACAGAGCTGTACTTTGGAATTGTCTGTTGGAGATGGGCGTGTCTGAGAAATTTATTAAAATCCTGAAAACCCTATGTAATAACACCTCAGACAAAGTCAGGGCACACAACCGCCTATCTCCACTGTTCCAAACCAGCAGTGGGGTTAGACAGGGCTGCCCGATTCCTCTATTCCTCTTTAACTTTGCCATCGATGAAATTCTTGAGACAGCTCTCAAGGAAGTGCATGATAGTGGTGTGAATCTACTGCCCGGAGAACGGCTATTCGACCTTGAATATGCGGACGATATCGTCTTATCGTGCGATGACACAGGCTATTCAAACAGAACCTAGTAAGTTGGCGATTAGTTTCCGTAAGTATGATATGTGCTTTCACCATTGAAATGCAAAATACTTTTGCGAAATTGGCAAGAGTCTGTGCATGCGCTCACCCCTGGTAGCGGGTGGTTGGAAGCAGTTGAAAAGTTCGTGCATCTGGGTGGTTGTGTAAGTGCTTGTGGAGGTATGAGTGGTGCCATTCCCAACCACATGTCGAAAGCCAGAGTAGAATACGTCAACCTAGGCCACCTTTGACGCACTCACGACGTTAGTCCGACAGTAAACGGTCGGGTTTACAACGGTTCGGTGCGAGAAGTTCTGCTCTACGCCTATGAAACTTCGTCTCTTCGGACAGAGGATGTACGATGACTTGATTATCGTTGTTTCATTGATGACCTTATTCTAGAGTGATGGAAGACTCTATCTGACAAACCTAAAACAATCCAGTCAGTCGTCTGACTAAAGTCGTTCCTCCATACTAAAAGCCGGAGGGTCGGGTGCCTGGTGCCTCAGAACCTGGAGTTCCTGAGCATAAACAGACACTGAAATGAACTCAGCAACCTTATGCACATTCGTGCAGTAGGAAATAAGCCATACCTATTGTGTGAGGGCTAATGATACTACCTGGCTGCCGAAACCTCCGTACGTGGAGTGGCGGTCGAATCCATGACCCACTGGGTGAGTCATCTCCCCAAACCAATGAACCACAGCATAAACAGGCTTTACCATCGCCTGCTTCCTGCCACCAGTAAGGTGTAGACATACACGAGCTCGTACTAGGGCTCTCTTTTATATAGGTAGAAGCTATCAATTGTTGAATGCAGCACACTATTCTCTAGTTTCTCCATAAAGCAATCAGCCAGCAACGGTCTAAATGGCGACCCCATAGCAACCCCATCCTTTTGTCTATATAGATGATTGTTGAATTTGAACTGCACACTGAAAGTACATCTTAGAAGCAATTCATTTAAATAGTATTTTGGGATACCCACTTGAAAATTATTATCTTCAGTGAACTCACATAGAAAGCAGATAGTTTCTGTGAGTGGGACATTGGTGAAGAGCGATACCGATGTCCCACTCACAGAAACTATCTGCTTTCTATGTGAGTTCACTGAAGATAATAATTTTCAAGTGGGTATCCCAAAATACTATTTAAATGAATTGCTTCTAAGATGTACTTTCAGTGTGCAGTTCAAATTCAACAATCATCTATATAGACAAAAGGATGGGGTTGCTATGGGGTCGCCATTTAGACCGTTGCTGGCTGATTGCTTTATGGAGAAACTAGAGAATAGTGTGCTGCATTCAACAATTGATAGCTTCTACCCATATAAGATATATGGATGACACATTCATCATAATTGATCAAAATACAGATACTGAGACTGTAGTTAAGAGGTTCAAAGATTGTCACCCATCGATCGACTTCACATCAGAATTTGAAGATAACTCGGAATTCCACTATCTCAATGTTTTACTGAAACGGAGACCAGATGGTTCTCTTTAGCGACCAATTTATAGGAAGCCTACTTGGAATGGACAACAGTTGAATTTCCACAGCTGGATGCCTCTCAACAGAAAGAGGAATCTTATCCATTCTTCATCTTAAAGAATCAAAAGAATCTGCACGAGTGATACTATTGACGAAGAATTAGATAAACTACGTAAGATCCTCATGCAAAATGGGTATCCATCCAGATTTATCGATAAGAACTTGAAAGTAAATCAGAATACGGAGCGAGTACTCACAGCTCCTAAGAAGACCTTGTTTATGAACGTTGTTTTCAAAGGCGACACGGCAGCAGAGATCCTGAAGAATCGGCTGCCCAGATTACTGAAAAAGACATTCTTCTCTGCGAAGCTGCAGATCAGCTTCTCTAGTTAACAACTCATTCCGGAGTGCGTTATGGACAAGTTGCCAGTTTGGGCCACCTCGATGTGTGTCTACAAATTTACTTGCTCCTGTGGAGCTAGTTATATAGGTCGCACAAAGCGCACGCTTTCCAAACGTATCTCGGAGCACTATCATGCATGGTTATCGAGGGGAGAAGGTAAATCAACTAACAGTTCAATTCTTGAACATTTGGTCAACTCTGGACATAAAGCTAGACCAGAATCCTCCTTCAATGTCACTTATCGTGTCAGATGGAATAGTTCAAAAGGAGTACGCCTTCGACAGCTGTGCACAGGGGAAACACTGGCAATTCATCAATTCAAGCCTGATTTCTGCATGCAAAAGAAGTATGTTCAATCTCTCATCTTACCATGGTCTTAACACTTTCATTTTTT